TAGTCTTTGAAGCTGCAGAATCACTTGGGAAGCTATTAAATGACAAAAATTGTCAACTTGTACCCTGAGAAGCAACACGTTAACAGTATTTTAGCTTCCCATCCTGAGCGTGAAGTCCTAACTTTATGGCCTTTATGGGTAAATGTGTAGAAATGGAGGCTGTCAATGGTCAAATCTTGCAACACTGCACAGAAAACTCTGGTAAGCTGATTCTTTTCTGGTAAACCAGCCCTGTCCATGAATACTTCATTAACAAAGGAAATTCAACTCACCCTGGAAGCACAATGGTGTAGTGGTTAGCATTGTCGCCTCACAGCAAGAAGGTCCTGGGTTTGAATCCAGGTCAGGGCATTTCTGTGTGGAGTTTGTATGTTCTCCCTGTGTCTGCATGGATTTACTTAGGGTTCTCAGGTTTCCTACCACATCCCAAAAACCTGCCTGTAGGTGTGAATGTGAGTGTGGATGGTTGTTTGACTCTATATATCAGCCCTGTGATGAACTGGCGACTTATCTGGGGTGTCCCCTGCCTTTGCCCCAAGATGCTGGGATAGGCTCCAGCCCCTTTGCAACCCCCAACGGGATAAGCGGTAGAAAATGGATGTATGGATTCAACTCACCCAAATATCCACAGCAGGTCAGAAAACACATATTTCTGGGTCACGGTGTCTGGATTATTTTTTTGAAAAGGTCTAACAAAGTTTCATCCAGATGGAGGGATCAGCAGGCTCATTGGAAAGTGACAATAGACATCAACATCCATCTTATTTTCCATTCATGAGGCTCTCATACACATGGCAGTCTACTGACACGTAAATGCCCAAAAACTGATTGTCCCCTCTTTATCAGAGAATAGAATTAATATTGTCATCATGTCTGTGTTGTCAAAAATCTCTTGTTTGTTTTGCCGGCGTGGGTGGTGTCCTGTGTAAACTGACGTGCACCCATCAGATCCAGACAACAAATGCAACGGTTGGATCCCTGACATCCGCTGAAGAGCTGGAGAGCGAGGTAAATGTTGATTTCAGCTCCTAACAGGCTGTGCAAACATGGAATAACAATGTGGAACAGGCAATTATGAGAGGAACTCATTCAGCAAATATCACTTTAGCTCCATCTCATTAACAGAGAAATAAAGCAAAATAATGAACAACATTAATACATCATTTAACTCCTCATTTACCTCCAGTGATTAACGAGCCCCTCTCCACATTTTAGATTGGAAGTAGATGTGTTCGTAATTACATCGTAAACTTTTTCTCTGCCAGCCACGGTGACAAAAGGTGCAGCTGTGTGTTTCTTCAGCTGAGAGAAGGAGCCCACACATTCATTTTCATCTCTATCAACACACCAGGTGCCCAGACAGTGTGTGTGTGTGTGTGTGTGTGTGTGTGTGTGTGTGTGTGTGTGTGTGTGTGTGTGTGTGTGTGTGTGTGTGTGTGTGTGTGTGTGTGTGTGTCTGTTTCATCGCCTTCAAAAGATTAAAATCTCAGGAAGAATTGCAGCTTCACTAAAAGCCTGTACATTACATCATAATAAAAGAAAAAAAACGGTAATTGTGACATGTCAACAAGGAATTTCCTCTCACATTTTTCTGCATATAGGAGAAAAATGCAAAAAAAAAAAAAAATCAAATTAAATGTTTGAACTTCAAGTGGCTGTGATCATTTCTATAGCAACATTCAGGTTAATGTTGAACTGTTGGATAAATCCATAGACTGTATATACTACGGACAACTTGGTTCCGCCTGTATACGGTTTTGAAGCCAAAACGAAAGAAAAAAAGAGGACTGGAGCACTAACCAGTCTTACTGGTCAACACTGCAAGAAGAGGGGAGAAAAAATTATGTTCTGTGTAATAAATTTCTAAAGTTTGTCCACAGCCCCATTATGCCCTATATTACAGCCCGTAAACAGAGGGTGCTGTTCTCGGAGTGGCTTCACCCAGCAAGAAGGCAGAAGCTGTCCATTCTATATACAGTCTATGGATAAATCCCATCAGAAAAGACTCAAACATAAGCGGCTGATGAGATATTTTGCACGATATGGAAAATGATGTTTCATGTGAAATGTCTTTGGCTTAGAGATCCCATCAAGACTAAGCTTCATGGATGTTGTTGGATACATATTTTACAGAAAGCAGAACCACTAAGAGGCATTAACTTGTCCCAGAAGGACTGTGTAGGTGCAAACTTTCCAACTTACATACAACCCTAACTCTGAACAATTTTAGACCCTTTGTAAACTTTTGATTAAAACAAAGTTGGTTTGCAAGTTTTGAGAAGGTTTTGTCCCATTTTTACCTGATATCTGATTTCAGCTGCTCATCCTTTTGAGGTCTCCTTTATTGCATTTACTGCTTCATAAATGACTGACAAGCTGAGACTGCAGGTCGGCCCCTTAAGCACCAGGACTCTTCCACTACAGTCATGTTATAGAACTGAAAGTGCAGACTGTGATATGGCGTTGTCTTGCTGAGAAATGCAAGGTCCTCCTTTAGAAAGGCGTCGCCGTATCTTACTCTAAAATGATGTACCGTCCAGCATAAATGGTGTGTAAGCTACCCATGATGTAAACCAGGGGTGGGCAATCATGTGCAATGGAGGGCCCAGAGGCTGCAGGTTTTCTTTCCAACCCAAAACTCCACCAGGTGATTTCACTGGTTAGTCCCTGCTCTCTGGTTGGAAGTAAGGTAATCAGTGAAATCACCTGGTGGAGTTTTGGGTTGGAAAGACAACCTGCAGCCTCTCTGCCCTCCATGGCACATGATTGCCCACTGCTGATGTAAACCTTTGTCAGGTCCATACCACCACAGATGCTGACTTTTGAACTGTGTTCTAGCAACAAACTGGGTGGTCTCTCCCTTTTTTTGAGTGAAGAATACAACATTAATGATTTCCAAAAGGACTGTCAGATTTTAATTTGTCAAACCACAGGATAGGTTCTGTTTTGCCTCAGTCCATCTTGAATAAGCTGGGCACAAAGAAGTTGTTGGAGTCTTACAGATTTCTAACTAAAACTGCAGCCCTGCAGGTCCTGGGATATTCCAGCGTAAATTTAAGTTATGGTCAAACACACCATAACACTGAGTTAGACAGCTTACTTCTAAACTGCTTGCATCTCTAGTTATACCAACTTTAGTAATGACTGCACGATAGCAATACACAGCGGTCAAGTCTCCATGCGCAAACCTCAACCAAAAAGTCACTCAATAGCCACAAATAATGCTCAGAACAGCACCTAATTTCATCAACAGTACATATAGGGTCCCAGTCATAGGACTCGCCATCAAACATCTTTTCAGCTTTGCCTGATTTCTTTAGCAAAGAGACCAAACACAACTCACCCACTCTACTTTGTGGGGGAGGTTTGCACACAGAGACGTCGACCGCTTTGTATTGCTATCCTGCGGTTGTTACTGAAGTTGATATAACTAGAGAAGCAAGCGGTTATCAACATCCATGTCTCGAGGGGGTGTTTAACTCTGTGTTACAGTGTGTTTGACCATAAATTGAATTTACCTTGGAATATCTCTTTAAATCATCTCAACTAATTAGGTTGTGAGCTAATGGCAGGTGGAGTATTGTCCCCACAACATCTCAACCCCAATTGGCATGACTGAGACCCTCAAGAAGGTTATGCTTGATTAGTCCCTCTCGAGGGCCTGAATTTGATCACATTACCACAAAGAAAATCTGGACCATGCAGTTCTCCTGCATAGATAAGCTGTTCAAACTTCACATACAGTGGGAGGAATGGGAGGCATGGGAGGACAAGCAGATTATTTCTGCCTTGGAGCTCCTCTATTTATTTAATCCAGCAGTGTTTGTTACTGAGAAGCAGTGTGGCAAAATGAAATTTGGATGAAACTTCAAAGGGTATTGATTCCTCCTTCCAGGATATGATGCTAGTCTAGGCATGGTATCAGGAGGCAAGACAGGCTGTTTTTTTTTTTCTTTTGAAAACTACTGTGATCATCAGCTAAAAATTTCCTGCAATCACTTATTACATGCACAGTTTAGCCGAGCTACAGTTAATGACAGGTGATTTAACAGGATTTTACTGTCCTTGTCCCAGTTTACATGCACTGAAGCATGTCCACCTCCACTGGTAGGTGGCCCCTTTTCAGCGTGTTAGTGCTGAAACGTCTCTCGGTTGATCTATTATGCACCAAACAATCGACAAAACGTGATAGCAAGTGGCTAAAGGATGTATTTAGAACAGTGGAAACATCGTCACTTTTACAGCTTTCTACCTTTGCACATATAATAGGACAATTTTGTCTTTCCTTTCTTTGTCAGTCGAGGTTACGTTCACAACCCGGCTTCATAGAAAGTGACTTAAGCTGTTCAATTTCCGGGTCAAAGCTCCGCGTGGAGGATGTGGAGACTATACATGATAAATCATGCCAACTTCAGATGAAACATGTGGCATTAAAGTAAAGTTATGCATATGAAAGGCTCTATGTTAGAGTGGTTACCAGATGGGGGCACATAAGACAGACAGAAAAAGCATGGATGCCAGAAAATCAATCATAGTCCTCCTTGTCTTTTTTTTTTTTTTTTTATGTAGAAATGCCCAAATTAAGTTACTTGTATGTGCTGAAACACCATGACCATGTAAGTGTGGCGATTTTGTAACGAGTTGTTCTTTTAGAGGGCCCAAAAGCAGGTTAAGGAGGCAGTGATTTTATTGACCGTTTGACAGTTGCTGAAGTCCAGGGAGTGAAGGAGATCCGTGGAAAGGAGAGGGAGGGCAGAGTGAGGGCTTGGAGGCGTGCTGGTGATTGGATCCGTGAGAGAGTGTGGCAGTCGTGGTTGGGCAACGCTGGTGGTGAGTGGAGGCACTGGAAGAGAAAAGCAGGAGAGCGAAGATTAGTCACAAGTAAATGTAGGTACACAGATTCATCAAAGTACCATCACTTTGCTTGAGACTATAGCCAAGATACGGCTGTGCAAGCTGGAATCATCTGGCCATCTGTAGTCTTCCAGGCAGAGCTTAAAAGCAGGTGGTGATGACATGATCAGGTGCAGGTGTGAAGGTGCAGGAGGAGCCAGATTAGGGGCTGCCAAGCCTCTGTGAAGTGGGAGAGTAAACAGTAAGAATCTTAACACTTGACTGTCACTGTATTTGGTCTTGTGTGCAGCTAATGCTGATCATATCATGTTCTCTAAGCTGCACTCTTGTTAAAGTTTTCTAACTTGCTCTTCTGACTACAGACCCTGTCAGTTTTATAAGTGTGTTTGCACTTGCAAGTTGACACAACCCAGTGTTGGTCAATAAACGTCAACGGCATATAACTCCTGTGACTCACCCATCTAATCCCAAGAACCAAAATCTTGTACAATGAAGACAACAAGTCGTAACCATTGAGAGTTTTGAAAATCTGTTGGGTTACTGTATAACATTGAATATGCTTTTGCTATTTCTTGATATCTGTAGCTTTGTGTTTCATCTTATTATTATTATTATTATTATTATTATTATTATTATTATCAAATAAGATGCTGTACATTTTGAATTTGGTCTTTATGCCCCTGTATTATAACCTGTATTTGCAAGGACACTCTAGTTTGGCTGGGATGCTCTTAGATAAAATATTGCCTGGCTATATGAATTAAAATAAATGAGCTGAAAATGAGCAAGAGCTATAAACTCTCTGCTCAAAGCCTCAGTGGTGTGTTTTGCATTTGAATTATGTTGAATTGCTATGTCACTATCAAATAAACAAATTCAATTTTTAATATTCAGTTCAATGCTGCTGAAACAACCTGAAGCAAAACCTCAAATGTTTAAACCCACCAAAAATAATGAACTGATACAGCACAGTTGAGATGTTACTAATGTGAATGCAGTAGCAGAACTTATTCATGTTTTTGCTCTGATCACATCTTTGTTGTGTGAATTATTTGATTTTTTTACTGTTTAACTGATCCCTGTTGGAACTTATTCACCATTTTTTACACACAGCTCCTAACCAGAAGGGGTTTAATTATGCATACAGGCGGCCAATCACTTGTATTATTCCACCGCTTGTTATTTCATCTGTATCCGGCGTTTGATTTTTTTGGAGGTTGTTGGCGATAATTAAAGGCCAGTGAAGTGTTTTTATTCCAAATAATGCTCCATGTGTGTCCGGTGAGTCAAACAAGCTAGGAAATTGTAATGTAAGACTTGTAGAAAGCACCCTTGACGACTTTATTCACTCAAAATCAAGAGTCATGTACGGTGTTAAGTAAGCCTTTAAACAACAATGGTTTATCGAGCACAGATTCTTTCTTTGTTTTTGTTTCAGGAAATAAAATCATTACCTACATATATCAGTCACTGAACTCAATGTCTAACCAATTCTTACTCAAAATATCTTTCTCCTGCGACGATTCAGGGGTTAAAATATAACCTGGAAAACTACAAAGACAATATTATACTGTAGATTGCAAGTAAGATATTGCCTTTGTCCCCGCTGAGAATAGATATTCCTGGATATGTCCCATATTTTAATGCAACAGCATTACTGTCCAGGAGGAAACAAGAAATAAAAATGCTTTATTTCCAGCTCTCTGTGGGACTACTGAAAGCTGTGAAGCAGGAAAATTAATATAAAATGACTATAAACATACCATTAGAAATAGATTGGTTTCTTATTATACCATAGTCCCTCATCAACATTAGGATTACTTTATGCAGCTTTACTCCCTGGGTATAATGCGCAAACATTTGCGTTAATATCCCTAAGAAGGGAGGTTTATATTCGACAGATTTATCATGCAAAACCCTGCTCTAAAGGAAGGATATCTTCTTCAGTGTAGCGTCTGACACATAAGAGAATACACTGATAATAATGTGTCTGTCTCACTATCCCAGGATAACGGAGTGAGATTACTCAGCATTTCATTTGTATTCCATTGGCAGCCCCCTCCCCTAACAAGTTTTATTTGACTACTGAGAGATGTTAGGGGTGAATGGTGGTGTGAGAGAGCCCCCCAGTGGTATGAAATTGCCATTGCAAGCATAAATCATGCAGTTTGTCCTTGTTACTTAACCAGTTAACCAAAGGACAGATTAGCTGCCAATCAGATTACCACAGTTTGTGTGCTGTGAAGACTTGCTGTAGCGAAGATGGGTATTTTATCTGTACAGTGCAAAGCTTCACTTATAATTATACCTCAGTTTACATGTATGACCCAAGTGCAAGAGTTTACACTGATAATGTCTTAGAAATAAAATCTGTTCTTGCTTTGTCTCCTTTGATTGTCTTTAGATGTTATTTAGGTGGTGAATAAATGTTTGAATAATTTTGTTAACCTGAGCACAAAGCAGCTCTCATAATAGGATGAACCCCCCTTTTCAAGACTGATTTTAGAGACTTTTAAAAGACCACATGGTTTTATTTCCATGCTGTTTTACTTAAAAAATATGAAAAGAAAGACAGATTTGAAGCTTGAACAATAATCATCACAGATTAACCCTGTTTTTAGGACTCTGAATCTGGACAGTTTCTAAAAATATAATGCTCAGCTCTGAGGGATTTTAAATCACTGACTATCCCTTAAAAACTGCTGCCACTCTGAGAAAGTGAGTGGATTTTACTGCAAGATCTCTACGTGATATCATTCACAGCTGATACTGCAAACGCCATATTATGTCTATATGTAACTGCTGGTTCCACTAATTACCAAGCTGTGTTTCTATTTCAGAAAGTAACAAAGTAAAGAATAGCATAGCAACATATTTTGTGTAATGTTTTTTTTTTTTTTTGTAACACGTTTGTAAAAAATGGCATACAGAGAGTAGGATCTTTAAAAAAAAAAAAATCTTAAAATAAAGCAACATTTTAAGAACACCATCATCAAACGGTGATTGATTTTAAGTTCACACTGTTCATTGGGGAGCGTATATCCAAGGACACAGTGGTCTCAAATGATATTTCTTATGTGAATCACACTGTCATTACTTTCAACACATGAGAAGCAGAACTACACAAAATGTATTTCTTGATCTACAGAGAGTCTTGTTGCTTCATTAGTGAAGTCCAACGCACACCACAACCCTTCAGTTCTTGGACCAGCTCCACAGTCTGATGTGTGGAGGCAGAGAGAGAGTGATGACTGAATCAAGGGTCAAGTAAGTACACAGACTGAAAGTTTGTATTCATCTTAGTATTCATCATTTGGAAACTTCCAACGTTAAATGCAGATTTGAAAAAAAGAAGTGATGGATGGAAGATGGCCCGAAAACACAAAACAACAGTCAGGACAACAATCTAACAGAAGTGCGTTATCGTGTTAATATTTGTTAATCTATAATATAAAGCAAAATATGTGATTTAAAGGAGAAAAACAAGCAACAGTTCAGGTTTTTATTAACGCCTCTCAGTGGCTATATGACGCTGAAAATGTCAATACATATGTGCCAAAAATTGCAGTTCCCTAAATGACCACATGAAGTGTATACCAAAACTAAAGCCATCCCAAAAGATCTCCATATGGTATTAATTTCCACACCCTGCAAGGGTTGGACTGGGAAAGTAATTCAGCTGAAAGTTTGACTGCTTACAGATCACCCTGTCTTACTATGTAACATGCTGGGTCATACTGTTATGAGGGCAGTTACGTTTTTATAAAGCTACTGCTATTTTAAATCATGATAGGCTAAATATATGTGTGGTAGAACCAAATAAGTTATTATTTTTAAATTAGTTATTTCTATTGATGTCAAACAATCATTTAAGCTTAGAGTCATAAATAAGAATAAGTAAACTTGATTTTAACATAAACTGAGTGGATTGATGGTAAAACAGAGCAGTGCACTAAGTAGTACTGTTGATAACTGAGCAGTACAGCAGGATCGTTTCAGAGGCACACAACCTGAATGGTAAACAGAGTGCTCTCTGTCTGAATTATCATTTCTATTAAACTTCACATATGCCTTGTAGGATTAGGTTTTCTTGCTGTGGTGCTAGGATTTACAACATATGCACATTTATTTGCTTGAGCTTATTTTTATTGGTTAAAAGTCACTGCTTTTAATGTAGTACCACCATGTTGCACTCCATATTGCTGTGATTTAATCCCACCTCGGAGAGATGTGCTTACTGTGTAGTCTACATGTTAACTTAGCCAGTCATACTGGGCATATCAGAACAAGCCTGGTTCCTTTCTGGTAAACATATCATTTACAATGTCATATAATGTTGCATCTGCATCAGGGGCCTTTTGCTTTCAAATTTTCTACTCTCTGCCTTTTCTTTTCTTCCTTTCCATTTCACCTGGTGATTGTGCTGTCTTACATCAGACTGCCAGAGTCCCACTTGCATATTTTGATGCATATGTTCCGAGAGGTAGTGGTGTACTGAGGTGAGGCAGTGCCCTAATGTTTGATATAATGCCAGAGTGGTGCCTTCATGGATGTTCCTGATAAAAATAAAAGTTATAAAATGCCCTCTCTGGTGCCATTTCCATGGAAACTCCGCACAAATTTGTTGTTGCTGCTGCTTGAAAGGATGAAACATGAAAAAGTGCCAGTGAATATCATGTTAGAATAGTGTCTTTTCGATGTCCTTTCAGTCAATCAATCAAAAAAGCTGACAGAGACATGCCTTCCTGAATTACGACTTCCTGTTTCCATTGCATACAGGAGGTGCCGTTCTTAATTGTTTTGCTATTGTTGTTGTCTATTCACCTCTTCTTGCCATCCAGGCTAATCTGAGTCACTGATATGATGTTTGGTGTATATAGTTCAATAGAGAATTATGCTCAATAACAGGTTGTCCAAGAAACCTTTGCTCCTCTTTTAAGGGTGAAGTTTGGCTATGCTTTATTTGTATGTTGAAAATGATGATGTAGTTCTTTGTGTCTGCACTTACTGTTCTTAATTTGTAATGAATTAACCTGCAGTATCGACAGTAAAACTTAGATAGGTTGGCATCTGATGAACTCTCTTATCCACATGAGAATCTTAGATAAGGATGGCAGTAGGCAGAGTTACAAAGTTAAGGTTCATCAGTTTAAAAATGAAAAAATAAGTGAGCTGCGTTTTAATGATTTGCTTAATACTTTTGTAAAACAAATGAAAAATTATGTTCTTTTAAACTTGGTAGAGATGTTGGACTTTTGAGAGAAATTTCTACATGGCTTCAGAAGCTTTGAGATACTATGGGAGACCTTTTTTGCAGGGTCTGTCTTTTACAGCATGATCATCTCCATATCACATTTCCCAGTGTATTCATAGTGTCAGGTTGCATCTATTTAAAATGAAAACATTGTGTTATCTATGAGTTTTAAACTCATGTTTTTGTCCTTTTTACTCACAATATTTACTGTTTATGTGTATAAAAAGGCATGCAAAGATAATTGAAACAAGTTTTTTTTTTCACTTTATTACAAACATTGTAAAGCTCTGTTACAATAAAGAAGTGGAAAGAATTAGCTCTCCCTCTTACTCAGTGGAACAAATACCATCCATTTAAATCCTTGGTAATCCATAATCCCACTGGCCTTTCTTTGGCCCCTTCAGTCTCTGTGCAGGGCCTGTCCAACAACACACAGGTCCGGGTGTGATGCAGAACGTGGTGTGGCTCTAAGGTCTGATTGGCTTCCCCAGAGTTCATCCTCCCTGATTGCCTCTTCATCCAGCCTGTCAGAACGAATGGACAATGTTTACATTGGCAATTAAGGAAGTGGGACATTGGGTTTGTGTTGGTTGTAAACAGGGATTGTGTGGTTCTGAGGCAAGATGTTAGATTAACTTTGAAGTGAGTTCACTCAGTCATGGAAACAAATCATGTACGCCATTACCCCTAAAATTACCTTTGGTATAATATTAATAAGTAGATGCTCGAAACTGTTGTGACAGTTATCCTTTGTACGCAATACAGTGTACCAATGCATGGCCTCTTTACGTGACAGTCTGTTGCATCACTTTAATCTCACTAGCTATTGTAAAACTGTCATGCTTGTTTTTAAGTTTGGTGCATTGATTAATAGATTTCGGATAAATACAGACACAGACATATCAAGTCGTATCGTCGACACACAGTCAACGACATAAAAATTTGTGGGGACAAAAAGAGACTATGTTGTTGAATAAGGTGTATGGTCTTGATATGGTTTTCAGACGTATCAATCCTTTAATGAAAAGAGAATACCATACAGAGTGTAAGCAGTAATAATAACCTTAAATAGAGTTTCATATGTCCTTTGTGCTTGGTATTATATCTACACCAACAAAACCAGAAACTTGTTGGTAAAGTTGATTGGTCTAAAATGATGAAAAGTAAAAACATGCAAGACCTGTTTATACTAAATGCATTTTGGACACTGTCATTTTCTGTTTACTAACATTTTTAGCTCTCAACACACCCCCACAGTCAAACACTTTCACGCTCGTCAATGTCATATCTCCATCATCTACCTATCAAAATTAAGGAGGGGCGGTATGTTATGAACCTTGTCACCGACGATGGCAGAAGCCAGTACAGAGGAGAAACTAATCATACTTCTTGGAATCCAAGTAATTTCTATGCCCTTGAGTATTTCTTTACATTAAAACAGTTACTTAACAACTGGGTATGGCAAATATACTGAGGCTGTTCTTCTGTTCTTGGAATTAGGTGCATATTTTACCAATCTTTGTTGGAAGTAACTTGAGAGTCCTCAAAAACAAATCAGCCAATTGCCCTAATGATTTACAGGAACAAAACAGAGCTATCATGTAAGATAGGTGTGATCATTGACAAAGATTAAATGAAAAGCCATACTTAGTGTTTAGGATGATTGACACACATAAATAAACTCACCCTGGTGAATAAATTGCTGGCTCACTCCCACAACTTTCAGCCACTGAGATTTTTGGTGATCTTGGTGGAAGACTCAGACTAGGCCTTCGGTCTGATTGACTACGTCGGATGAATTGCTGAGGTCCTTGAACAGATACAGGACACCTTCCATGACTCTCCCAAGCTCTTGAGAGAAAAGACACCCCAGTAGATGTCCATGCTTGAGGGGGTCGTGGAACAGAGCAAGGCTGGGCTTCAAATAGGGATGAAGATGCTGGGCAGAAGACTGAGCGTGCATTGCTAAACCTGCGTGCACTGGTTAAGTCTTCACTGCTGTTCTCCCTTGACCATCGTTGTACTTTTGGTGAGGCTGGTGGAGATGGTGCTTTGAAGGGGTAGGAAGGGGGTGAATGTGTGTGAGAATTGATCTGCTTTGCAGAATGTGGGCTTGGGAGCCTCCTCTGAACTGCTGGTGGTGTGGGGAGTTTCCTGCTGACAGGAGGGCTGGTTGTAGAGGGTGGGGTAGGTTGCCTCTTTAAGTTGTGGGGGCTGTTGAGTCTTCGTTGTAGACTGCTCTGTGTAGATGGTGTAGATGGTAATATTCGCCCCCTAGACACAGGTGGAGTGGCAGCTGGTTGGCTTCTGACTACTGGAGAGGGAGGCACTATAGTATTAGGTCCAGGCACTGATAGGATGCCACCATCTTGTGTATCCTCAAGACTGTCAGCTGGATTTGCTGCTCCATGACTTGTTGACATACTCTCTGAGACTGGAGATTGTCTTTGGCTTATGATCGTTTTGGCTTGCTGGTGAAATGAATAATTTTCCTTTTCAGCCTCTAGATGACCATCTGATGAGCTGACCTTTGAGGGAGCAGATGTGTCCTTTTGATCTACTTTATCAAGGAAGCTGACCCTAGGAACTTGAGGCAGGCCTCCTCTGCTTGGCAGCACTGTCACTGCTTGAACTGAGGCCCTCAATCGTTGTGAGACCACAGTCCTTTTCAGTAAAGGTGATTTTCTGACCTTTGCAGCCCCTTCATCTGTTCCATCAGCTGCAAGAATCTGGGAACTTTCAAAGGAGTTGTCCATTAGCACTTCCAGTGGTGGTGGAGGGAGACAATCAGGATCAAAGTCATCATTTTTCTCTGATGGATTAAATTCAGGTCTACAGCTGGTTACCCCAGTGCTAAGCACAGCTTCAACATTTCCTAAACCTGGCAACACAGGAACACCACACTTCCGTACTCCTCTGAGAGGCCCAAGAACATTGGGACATTCTAATCCCTCTATCCCTTGACTGAAAGTATCAATCAGTTTTTTGACAGAGTTTCTGCCTCTGTGAAGACCCGAAGAGGGCCGTGGTGATGGGGGAGGACTAGGAGGTGGTGTGGCCTTTATAGGACCCTTAGATATTTCCTTGTCTTTTGGTTTACCTTCTTCACCATCACTGGTTACCTCTTGTTTATCATTGTTGCACCTTGTAAGGCCTGTTTTGTGTTTAGGTGATTGGATATTAACTTTTTTCTCCATTGGGGGATGTTTGCGATTTACTGCTGGAGATTGCGCAGGCGAGGAGCATTGATTGTGTTTGGACTGAGGGGTCCTGATGTTTCCACTTGCTTTCCCTTTGTTCATCTTCTGCAATCGCTGGTTCAAATCTTTCTGGGTCTTGGCTAGTTCAAGCAAAGTAGGATCTTCACCTTTACTCCGTAGAGATTCTGCTGATCTGGAGCGCTGCTCTTTGGTCACAGCAGTCTTTTTGACTGCAGTCCTCCTAACAGGTGCAGATGTTTGAGGCCTTTTGGGGGTTTGTTCCTTCTCATCTGTCCATTGGCGTCTGCTGGTTTTAGGGCTCCCAACTAACTTTGTTTTGGTGCAAGTGTTCTGGGATGGGACAAACTGTATCTTACCACTGATAGCATTTTTCATTTTGATTGTCATTTCCATGTTTTGAGGATTTTCTATGCGCTTCGATGGCAGGCGATGTGGGTGCTGTTGCTCTTGATTTATGGGGCGATTTATGGGGGAGCAATTTGATTGCTTTGTTACACCAATTTGCTCTCCCATTATATTATCAGTATCTTCATCATCATCATCGTCCTCACCATCATCAAAGGAGACTGAACCAAGCAGCGAATCTCTTTGGTTATTCGCTATCATGGTACTTGTAGATCCCAATGAGATGAGTGAGGAGAGAGAAGCACTTGGACTTATTTGTTTTGTGGGCTTTTGCCTTGATATTCCTCGTCTAACGTTCATGGAGGTATATTCCATTGGACTGATGGGAGTAGTTCTGTTTGTCCCTGTGGATCCACAACTCTCCCGTCTGTAGCGTCTTTCAGATCCAGCAAGAGATTCACTCTCTGCTCCAATCCCACTATCCTCGCTGAAGAGGGCGGAATCCTCAGGCCGAGACTGGTGCAGAGATGCCATTTCAATGCGAGATAAGAGTCGCATCAGCCTGCTCTCTACGGCACGTTTGACTTTCAGTTTCTCCTCTAAAAGCTCTGAGACGGACGCAAAGTAGTCTACTGCCTCCATCAAAGCAGAATCACCAATCCCACCAACCGTCTGGCTCACATTTCTCATTCTCTGTGTGGTATACTGAAGCAGCTGCTGCAACAAATCTGGTGGGGACTCGATATTTGCAGAGCCAGACTTTGTGGGAGGAGAGGATGAAAGGTTTTTTATTTGACTTGGCCACGCAAGATGTTCTCCATTTTCTTTCAAAACTTTTTCTCCCTCATCTGCCATCTCTTCCAGTCCTTGAGTTATTTCCTCATAGCGTAGAGCCATGAAAGCAACCATGGGCTGCACAGACACCTGCGTTTGGGTTGCTTGTTCTAAAAGTCCAAGCAGATCTTCATATTTGTTTATACTTGGATTCAAAAAGGCATATGCAGCTTGGTGAGCTCTTACCAATGGTTCTGGGAAGTCCACCTTCTGTTCTGTTGCTTGTTTATCTTTGTCTTTCTTTTTTTGTACCTTAATACCTTTAACATTTCTCTTTGTTTTTTTGGCAGGCTTCTTTTCAGCCATATCCTGTCTGTCAACACTTTTCTCTTTTTTCTGTAAAGCTGTGTTGTTGTCCATGTGCTGACTGACAGTTTTTTCTATGTTTGGTGTCTCAGGCGCTTGATCAGACACAGATCGCTTCTTTTGTGGTGTCATATGAGCCTCTTTCTGTATCACCTGCACTTGTCCTGCTGCTTGTCTCTCTTTTGTATCCTCATCTCTCAATCCAGCTGAATGACTGTGCTCTTCTTCTTCAAAGTGGGACTCTCTGGGGTATTCTTGGGGTGCAGGGGGGAGCATTCGCCCCCTCCGTAAGGCACCCAGAGCCCCAAAGTTGTTACCTTTGGATGGTGAGCAGCCCATTTTTGTGTTCCAGTACAGATGGATTTTTTTTCTTGTCTTCTTGGTGGCACGACAGTGCAGTGAGTCAAAAAGGGATAACCGAGATCCTTAGCCACCTGCTGTATCTGTCATTTTCTGATGGCTGAGATGATTGACTCTTTTAAGATCCCTTTCCAAGAGGATGATGCCCAAACAAGATATTGATGAATCCATGTCTTAAAATCCGTCTCTGCAGTCATTAAGAGGCAAAATAAATCCACAGATCGATGCTCATGTTTATGAAAAAATGTCCTTGTAGCGTGCTCTGAAACATCCTTCTTTATCTGGTGAGGGACTAGCAGCTGAAAGGATTAGTGAGGCTTCCACAGCCCAGCATTGCACATATGTCACGTTAAAGCATATAAAACTCACCTACTTGTAAGACGATAAGCTCATTTGGTTAATGAGGACTGGCTTCAGGTGGCTTTTAATAGCCCGTAACAGCAAAACAAAACCCCCATAGAATAATTTCCACTGCAAAAAGTTTTAAAAAAGTGTATATTCAAGGAGGATGAACGTGCCTCCTGTTGTTTGAATTATTTGCAATATTTAGGGAGACATACTGCTAATTTCTGTGGCATTATAGGACATTGATAAAGTTAAGTCATAGGCCTACTTGGTGTTGCAATAGATACAAATAATAAAATCAGTATATTAAGGTATTAAGTCTTCAACCAGTCTGAAGAACTTTGCTTATTGAACCATAGTCAGCTATTTTTACTATTATTATTGGTGGCAAGGTGGAGTTTGCTTATCTACTTTAAAACTTCTATATTTAGCATCTCTGGAATAAACCAGTGAGGTTTGCTTTAAATAACTCGCATTACCTCTGTGTTTAAAAATGGAGTACAGGTTTAGGTACTTCTTTTTCAAACACAATATATATAAAAAAAGTGTATACACAGGGTAAGTTCACCATAGGATAAGGTGACCAGATTTCTGTAATGAAATCCGGGGACAATCGGTGCAGCGGCAGGGGGGTGGGGTGCAGGGGCTGCAGAGGCTGTGTGATCACAGACAACATCTCGGTACTATTTAGTAGCAGCACATGCCCCTTGTAATAACCCCCGTAAAAACAGTTGACTGCTTATTTGTGCTTCCTACCCATTCGGCTACTGTAATAACCGTTGTTCTAGCCTTCACGCAACATTTTTGTTCTCATTCATGAAACGCTTAAATCGGGGAAATTTGAGGGGAAAGCTTTTGCCGGGGACAGGTCATCCAATTCGGGGACTGTCCCCGGAAATCTGGGACCTCTGGTTACCTTACCATAGGAGACCAAATTTTTTTGGCATGCTATATTATCAAGACAGTTATTTTTACACTTATTCTGTTGGTTTGCAGGGATGCACAACATCTTGAAATATACACTTGTTAGAGACAAAACTATGATTGCCTTGATGTAGTGATCCGAAATATGAAAAATGGTTCATCTTACCCCATTCTCCCCTATATATACACGTTTGCCAGTGTTTATAAAGCAATGGAAGTTGCTCCAAATCAGAAACTATTTCACACAATGATGTGTAAAGTAAAATACGAAACCAGGGCTCTCAAGATTATTTTTTTTTTTTTGCTGATTGAAGATAATTATTAGTTTTATTATTAGTATAATAATCCAATAAATACAATGGAGTATGAGGGCCACATTAAGAAAAAAAAACATTTTTAAATCTTCGAGAATAAGGTTATTATTTAGGAGAATAAAGTCATTAATATATAAGAATAAAGTCGTAAAGTTACCTGTTGAGGAGGAGAGTTGTTAAAATCAGCACTGTGGAGCATTTAGATGAATTGTACTTTAATATAGGTTTCACAAACATGGAGATACATGAGCATTACACTGTCATGAGTATCAGAACTTATATATGAGATATATGAGAAATGCTTATTTTGTGGAGGGGAACATGGCCGGAAATGGCTGTACAGAGGCTAAATTCATCAATACAGCTGTTAATAACAACAGCATAGGGCTTTAGTTTATCATATGAGTTTATATGCCATGAGGTGTTGAGGTCTCTGCATGTGTAGGTTACTGACTTACTGTAATCATCGGGTCTTTCTCGTCCTTATGAAACCTGCTCTATTTCGGCGAGTGTCTGTCTTCTTCTGTAGTCAAACCGCAAGACATCAAAATCTACCCGGTTACAGCAATGCTGCTTTTTGATTGGCTGTTCAGTAGATATACTTTATTTGATTGGCTTGCGCGTGGCACGCAGCTTCTTAACTCGGAGAAACTCACTTTAATGCTACCTGTTCCATAGTTAAAGGGGTGCAACTTGGAGGACATCACCATGTTCATTCAAATGCGTGAGAAATTCAATGTGTGGCGTGTGAGCAGGTGGGAATGCGTGTGTCACACGCTGAATGCGTGAGACCTGAGAGTACTGCAAAACCATTAAATGAACAAACAATTATTTATCAATGAAGAAGAAGAGGAAGAAGAGGAAGAAGAAGCGCGTCCCCGCGTGCAGCCAGGTTGGAGCGTTCTAACCATAGACATAATAAAAGATAGACCCCGCATCGGCCGCTACCACGAATGGGCGCTGTCGAGAAATGCGGCCGCCATCTTGGTCCGGTCATCCGCCTCACTCAGCACCGCTGTTTAACCGGCGGAATGAAGTCTGAGCGCATTAAATGAATCATAGTTCGCTCAATACTGCGTAATTTTCTTCTCTGCAAACGCCATTCAAAGAGGCATGATAGAGGCCATATTTTTTTGGCGTTTTCAAATACTCAGAATGAATAAAATGATATTTTAGAACATGACAGCAGTGGCTGTATTATAGTATAACAATTAATCAAGTATATATCTAGGTTTAGAGCTAGGTTCCTGCTATGTCTCAATAATTATTAATAACTGGCGGTTTTGATAGGCCAATTCATTATATATTGATTTGATTATATTTTATTTAGTTTAATTTTATTTATCCATTTGTAGACACACACAAATAATGTCATATAGAAGCACTATTTTAATAACTGGAAAATACACACAAAGAAATACACACAAATATATAGCCTACATATCAAAAAAATTTAAACACAAGAACAGCATGACAGGACAGCATCTAAACTACATATCAATTTGCTTGTTGGCTACACAGCACAGAGGAATCACTTGCTGCGAACTTCTCCCTCTAACAGCAATCTCCCACTTCTTCCTCAAGTTTTTGTCCTTAGGAAATCTTCAAAATGAAACAGGAGATCACCAAAAAGAAATCTTTAATAGAACAGATAATAAAACAGAGCTCACTTTCTTCCTTCTTCTTTCTATTTTATTTCTTAACGTTTCTTAGAACCTCTCTCAAACAAAAGTTTTTCAATCTAATGCAAATCTGTTGATAATAGAGCAAAGTTGCTATTATTGTGAATAAGCTAGCTGTTCGCAAATGCTGTTTCCTTTTTGGAGTTGACCGATAGTCTTCCTCTTTGGCCTACAAATGACTCTACAGTCAAGCGTAATGTTGAAAAAACGTTTAATCATAACTGTGGAAAGTTATTTCTTGAGCCCTGTTCTCTGCTGTCCGCCTGTTGGCACAGGAATACGCCGCACAGTGCTCCGGCATCGCTGAATGAATGAATGAATGAATATGATTGACCGGAGCGTATGGGAAGCTTGACCTGACCAAGATGGCGGCCGCATTTCTCGCTGTGCAGCACCCCCAGCGGGGTCTACCCTTTTATTATGTCTATGGTTCTAACGGTCTAACGGTAAGGATTAGAAATTCATTCCGAGTAACGACCGTCGTCTTAACGTCTCCTTTTCTGACTTTCTTAATCGTAAGCATTTCGCTCTGTTTATAATTACTCACTTAGGCTTTTATTAACGCTTAGATCTACCTTATGTCACCGATGCGGGGGTTTGTAACGCGTATTTATTTCACTCAACTGTAGATAACTTCATCAACTTAAAATCGTGTCTTTTCAGCTAGCTGCTACATCGTATAAACTGGTTTTGAAAGGGAAAGATTATGAATTGAGGATTGAATTTCTTGGCATAGATAAATCACTTATAATTCAGGTTCAGTCTTATGAAACAGTATCAGGTCTGCTTTGCTTTAATTGAATGTTTGAATATACACCCTATCCATCAACGGTTGATTTGCTCTGCCAGTATAGTTAGCGAAAGATAAAGACTTCTGTTATTGGATAGTATGAAGATTAAACAATAGTTACATATTAAGAAGAAAGTTAATCACACCTGTCTGTAAAAGTAAAGTTTTTGATAGTAATCCAATATTCATGTGATGTGTGTAGATTGTGTAAATCAGAAATCAAATAAGTTGTTTTCTTATTCTTATAGATCCAGAAGAAATCAAATTTACAGCAGTGGTGTAGGTTTTTAATCTCTTAACCTCTTTGTAATGTCATCTCTGCATCCATCACAGATCTCTTCACAATACACAATTCCAGCTGAAGCATGAAGCGCAGCCACAAGAGCGAGATTTCTGTGACTGTCTGGGTCAAACCCAACACTATACCCTCCCTTCAAGCCAGAAGGTGTCTTGAGCTGAAAAATGAAAATGAGCATACACTGACCCAAATTATTGTCGTCCATGATCAGGAAATGTCAGCGTTCTTCAGAATTTTTGGTAAAGTAGTATCCTGAATAAGACATGCGTTATTTTGTATGTTGAAGCTGTTGATAAAAGCCTTGGAACTGAATTTAAGATGTGTAAACCATATACTGTATATACTTTGGACAACTTGGTTCCGCCTTCTGCCAGTATAGGGATTTGAAACTGAAAGCTCTCGGTAATTCTGCGTTTTTTCTCCACTTCCTGAAACCAACATTGCGCAGTAGTGTTGTACGCACTCCACCACTTGCGCAGTAGCATTGTACGCATTTGGCGGGAGAGTCGCAGAGAGTTGAGGTGATGATGCTCTGCTCAAACAGCGTATCCCCTGGGTGAGCTATGCAATCTTCGTACGCCCGTAGGCTGTATCAAGTGTCAATCATAGAAAAAATGAACCCCCTAATAACTTTTAAAAACAGAGCTGCACAGAAAAAAAAGAGGACTTGAGCACAAACCAGTCTTCGTGGTGGCTTCACCCAGCGAGGAGGCAGACGGCGTCCATTTTACATACAGTCTATGGTGTAAACCACATAAACAGTTTTCGATTAATATGGTGCAAATCAGCAGTCTGTGATTGGGTTTGATCAAAGAAACTAATGATCATATTTGATTACAGATGACAAACTGATCCATAAATTTTTGTTGATGGACTCTTGCTACAAACTGACTGACAAAGTAAGTAAATACACAATGTTAAAGTGACAAACCTCTGAAACATTAACTGACCGACTGCATCCTTTCTCCTTTATTTAACAGTACCTCCTTGCCATGACGTTTGTGTACTTCAAAAGAGCTGGCTTTATCATCGCTGAGTACACTGTCGAGAATTTCTTCATTGCACTGTAGGTTTGAAAGAAATAATTTGCTCTTGTGCGTGTTCTTGTGTCCTATTATTCCCATAAAAGTCAATCTGTAGCTCTAGACCTGGCTCACATGCTCCGTTTTTAGGCACCTGGCCAACACCATGGAGGAAGATGAGGTGGAGAATACATACGAGATTTTTCCCTGGGCGCTGGGAAAGAGCTGGGGGATTCTGTTTAAACAGTTCATCAAGCAGCGAGACAAACTTTGGGTTCGCATCAAGTTCAGAGCTCGCGTTCACAGGAATGTTTGTGAAGAGGTACAGACCTGAGAAGACTGATAAATAGGCTTGTCTTGCTTTTGCTTTAGGCTACGTTATTTTATTTTTTTAGCTTTGTTCAACACCCAAATCTCCATATCTGACCTCTTATTTACAGTTTTGGAATTTTTTATACTGTTACTTTAACTGAGTTTTTTTAAAATAGTTTTTTCTGTCTTCTAGGTGATGGCTATAGAGCCCTCTCATCCTCTGTGGCAGCGTAATCGCCCAGAGCACCATGGCTTTGCCCAACGACAGTATGGTGACCAACCTTATTCTCTCCGTGGACCCTGGGCTTCCCCGGTCTTCTGTGCCCCCTGTCACAGTCTTACCATGATAAGGAGGGACGAAGACTCGAGGAGGAAGACTGTGAAGACTGAATGTGAGGCTCAAATCTCCGACAGCTGTGCTGAAGAAGTTCCCAGTAAGTACCACTGATACCCTCTAGCTGGAGTATAGAGTGTTGCTTTTAAATTTGGACTATATTACAGATCTGAATTTTCACACCAGAGGGATGTTCAACATAGATTGTGTAGCGATTTGAAATGAGCCTCACACGATCGCACCAAAATATATATAGCGATTTGAAATGAGCCTCACAAGGCCGCACCAAAATAATACTGTAGCGATTGGAATTTATAATAAATGTCTGAAGATTAATAATCTCAAATTATGACATTTATGCACTCGTTGAAAGGGGCACCACCCACCCTTAATGGTGGGAAAATAAAGAAAACAAAAGTTTAATTCAGAAATCAAACATCAAGTCAGTTTTAATTAATCAGTCTCATATCTTAAGTTGAAATTCTAATTTCAGGGACTCCACTTCTGGAAGAACACTAACAGACAGGAACTTAGAAAAATAATGATCTGTTTATTACAGGATAAATGATGGTACAACATACATGCAATAAATGATGATAAGATAATAAAGATAAATAATAATAGGTGAATAAATAAAGATTCTGAGTCAGGCTAGGAGCACTAAAGTTAATGATAGTGAGTGAATATGCGCTAACATATTAACCTACATTAACTTTGGTGTCGAGATAAACTCGGATGTGGATTTGGAGGAATCTAAGATTACCAGAATAAGAGGATATCTGAGCTATGAACGCAGGAGACAGCACCAGCCCTCTTTGGAGCTCTGGAGGTTTGCATACTTAAGTGAGACAGGTCCTTGGAGAAGATGGAGCAGGTTCCGAAGGTCCGGGGCTACTGGCGGTTCGAGCGGTTCAGCTCAGAAGACTACTGAAGTCAGCCGAAGGATGAGCCAGGAGTTGCAGCACTCGGGCCCGAAGCAAAGCCAGCGCCTGTGGATCCTGTGGATGCTGGTTTGGGTACTTCTTTGGTCTCACTCAAAAACTCTGGCACAGAGGATGACCTGGGCCTGCTGGGTTGCGTTCAGAGGTGACTTTGAGATCACGCAGAAAACTCAGAAAAACGAGGCTCAAAGAGCAGAGAAAACTTTCAAAAATGGCTTCGCGAAATTAAAGAAAAATCAATCAAAGGCTTAATCTTGAATTGCTATGCGCACAAAAAGTTGAAGTTTCAAAACTTGGACTAAGACGATGTTAAAGAAAAATCAACGTGAATCAACACGTGGCGTAAAACTTAACTCGGCTTCTGGAGCACATAGAAAAACGGGAAACATCTCATTTTTACACAAATTTCATGATTAGACAGATTAGTACATTGCTGAATGCATAAGATGTCAGGATCAGTCATTTGTATTCTTTCACCAAAGGAATGCAGTCTTTATCAGTGTATGGTCGAGCAGGGTTTTACGACCGAGGTCTGGAGGTCAGTGTCCCCTCTTATCCTGGGGTCCGTATGGTCACACACTTTAAGAAGGTAAATCTCAAATGGGAGATCTGGGTTGAGATGTTAATGTTTATTTAGATGGTCGGCAAATTGAGTCAGTTTGAAAGGTAATAAAAACTCTGTCTCTGTTCTCCGAATTGACCAATCATGAAGAGTCAGAGGTTTAGTCAACCTACCCCGATTGGGTCACTTAGGCAACCTGAAAGTGTAAACATGTCTGGAAAGATTTATATCCTGTGTCCTGGGACCAGATAAGGAAACTTTCCTGTGAGGAATGTGTGAGATTCACACCCAGGGTTGTCTTGATTGCTACAATTGTGTGAGTAGTATTGCAACCAGCAGTGAACTGATTTCGGTTCAGTCAGGACCTCACTGGTCAAAAGGGTCATTATTTGCATGGAACGAGTTATATTTAGCTGTATGGCTCTGTTCTGAGATTTTCCTGCCCTTGCATATGCATATGTGGATAACAAAGCCTGAGGCAGAAGAGCACACTGAGTTGCTGTTTCATCCCATACATGAAAACCCAAAGCAGCAGCAAAGACCTCCCACTTTAAGAACTAAGTAGATATTACTTTACAATATGTTTGACTCTGGTAAAATCAGACAGAGCAAAAAGAAGATGTAGGTTGCAAGGAGGTTGGCAGACTAAAGCAGTGTAATATTCTCCTCCCAGTGTGGAGCAAAGTTTGAATATCAGATAAAGGGTAAGGATTTATTTTTACCATGATCATGAGATCTTTAAGTGCATTTTCATATATTTCATGTTTCCTGCCTAAAGTCCCACTCTGATTGTTATTTTTTTAACTACTTTAAGTGTTCTCGGTGGTCTTTACATTGTGATTATGAAGTTTTTAGCCAAAATCATGTCACCTGTCATTTTCAAGGGATTTTCTTCTGCAGAGCTCAAGTAGCTCATTAGCAATTCCCCTCTGAGTCGTGGGCGGATACAGCGCCCACGACTCACCCTCCTCTTCTCCTAAATTTATCATTTTAAGCTTTTCTTCTTCTAAATAAATTCCACAGTGTTTGAAGAGTGAATTGATATGCTTTGTAATAAAACATTCCAAAAGACTTAAGATTTGATAAGTACAAGAAAAAATTGTCCCTAACTTCAATTTTCTTTATCAGAAGAAGAGTCTTCCTGCGGGTCCACACATGACACCTCCATGGACTGGATCTATGGATAATAAAGCTTCACAAAAACCTCGGCTTTTGTCCAACCTGCTTCTTTTTGGGGGGCAGATATTTCACATGTCTCTGACTCTTCTCAAGTGCCAAATTTATTTTGATGCACAGATTTAAACAGTTTGTGTTTAAATCTCAGTTATTCTTAGTAAAAAGAAGTTGATGTTTTTGACATGGAAACACAGAGTAAAACAGATGTGGTACATTTATTTATTATATTTATGTTTTTATTTGATTATATTTATTGTTAAAGTATGGTTGCACTCTTGTGATTCTGCAGTGCCTTCTTTTTGAAAACCTCAAAATGGTTCGCCGCTTATGTTTCACGTTCTTTGTATTGTCTTTTACACACTGGGATTCTATTGAGTGTGTTTCTGATGTTGCTGCCAGTGTGCCTGTAAAATAGTTTTAAAAAGTTTTAAATAAAGACTTGAATTTTGTCTTTTTGAGATTGTTTCTTCTAACCTTGTTTATGCTCTCAACTTTGTTTCAGTGTGCACAATATTATTTTCTGTTAGCATCAGTGGGTAACAGCTTAACAAGTGGCACAGGCAAGTGTCCACTGATTGTAAATGAACTCCAGTACAAGAACAGAACATCACTCCCTCAGTGAGTCTTTGTCAAATATGTCTGACTTGGCATTCACAGGATAGAGCTGCCTCAAAAACAGAACTAAACTCAGACATTTCAACCTTGTTTATTCCATTTTTTTCTAGTTTTTTACAGAATAGAGATAACTTTGGGTTGATATGATACATTCACTTTTCTGAGCTTCTTTGTGGGCGAAGCAGCTACTTCACATACTTCCTCAGTTTCACCAGGAAAGCTAAGAAGGAAAAAAAGAGATGCAGTTTAAAACAAATGTAACCACTGAAAAATAAGTGCAGCAGGCCCCTCTTTCCTCCCACTGTAAAAAGTCGAACCCAAGAACAGCCCTAACATGTTGCATTGGACACATTTTCAAAGACAGTACATGCACAGAAGGGTCGACTGTAAGCCTGATTTATTGTATACTCCTTTGCTGCATCTATAATATAGGTTTGCATAGTCCTGTAACTTTGCAGGAGCATATGCATAAAGTAGTATCTTATATACCTCCTAATTAGTGTTAATAACTAGTGCAGGAGTTGTACTTTAATAACCATCGGTTCTGCTATCTTCATCAGCCCTTACAGAAAAAGATTTATTTAGGTGGTAATGGGGTCCCAGCAATAGTGCTAGCCATCAAACATATTTTTAGCTTTGCCTGGTTTTTTTTTTTGGCAAAGAGACCAAACGCAACTTACCCACTCTCTTCCAGCAGCTGCTTGTTTGTACGAAGACCTCAGATGAGTCCATTACCAACAGCAGCGGGGTAATGCAGCTCAAGGACGAACATATATGATCATGACTTCATGGAAATGCAATCAGATCGAGACGCTAAGGCAGAAGAACTCTCGCGTCTGCAGTGCAAAATGATGATTATGATGATTATTACTTCAAGGAAAGGATAAAGTAATGATCATATATGTTCTTCCTTGAGCTGTGTCACCCCGCTGTAGTCTGTGATGGACTGGCCTGAGATCTCACTACAAACAAGTGGGTGCTGCAAGAGAGTGGGTGAGTTGTATTTAGTCTCTTTGTGAAAGAACCTAGGCAAAGTTAAAAAGATTTTAGGTGGCTAGGACCCGATATGTACTGTTGATGACGTTTGGTGCTGTTCTGAGCGTTATTTGTGGCTATAGAGTGGCTTTTTGGTTGGGGTTTGTTTATGGCTCCTCAGACCGCTGTGTATTGCTGTCATGCGGTCGTTACTAAAGTTGGTGTAACTAGAGAAGCAAGTGGTCGGCAACTAAATCTCTTGAGGGGGCGTCTAACTCGGTGTTACGGTGTGTTTGACCGTAACTTAAATTAATGCCGAAATATCCAATTAAGGGGTGAGAAAACCCTAATCCATATGAGCTGTTCTGACAGCAAACATGTTTGATGAAATCTTATTTGGTATGTGTTTTGATGATCTACTTCGATACAGCTGTTAATGGAGCAGGTTGGCTCTGTGACGTACTGCAGCCAGTCAAAAGGGGACAATCTGTATGTTTTGGCTTCAGTTTATGGGATCAAGGCAAACAAACTATTCTACTAGTTTGCAAGTTAATCTCTGACCTGAGTGGCTTTTTTGTTCAGGATGAGGTCTGGCAATGTAGGGAACACTCCCAAAGGCTGGCTGTTCCTCTGCGGCGGTCTCCTCTGCAATAAAGCAGTTTAACTTCTTAAAAGGGACCACAGAAAGTCTGAGACCAAAACCTGATGGTTCATTACATTTTTAGTCACCTGTGTCAGTGTTTTCTGATGTCTCATCTTCCTGCCTCTGGGCTTCAGCCAGGATCGGGGCTTGTCTTATGCAGTAGCTGCCGTCTTTACGGAGGGCTGGTGCCACCAGCCAATTCCTGATGGGCACCTCGATGATGCTTTCACAAAGCAGAGGAAGCTGCAGACATCTGAGCCCTTCCAGCAGGTCAGTGACCTGTGTTATGCTGTGTTACAAAGGGACAGTCAGACAATGGTTCTGTCTCTTTTTCTAACGCAGGAATTCAGTGACTTTTAAATCACGTTAATTAACGTGGTTATTACATAGAAATGAAAAGAGTAGAATATTTTCTGTTTCCTTAGAAGAAAATCCCGCTATCTAAGATATTTCAGAGGTGATGGAAAACAATACGATACACACTTGGCAAGGTAGACAGCACAAACAGCTCCAGGGTGCAGATGTGGAGTCATGGTGTGTAAAACCAGGTGGGGGCTGGGTAAGTCGAGGGCAACCTAAAACAGACAGGATCCACCTGATGAATGGACAAGTATCACATGTTCAAAGTCTTGATGAATAGTTATCAGGTGCTGCACACTAACCGAGTGAAATCCCTGACCAACAAGGAGTGAGGAGGCCGTGCTCAGGTCAGCATGGACAAACTGGACATTGTCAGGCCACTCCTCTCCCCGTCGCAGACTCCATGCTGTCCTCCAATGGTTGTAGTTCCAGACAGCTCGTTTATGGTGGTCCTCCCTGATGTCCAAACTCAGCACACGGCCTTTAGAGCCAACTGGGGAAACATAAAAACACAGTAATGTCCGTGAGGTCACTCTCCATCCACACTCCATCTAAGCTTTCCTGGATCATTGTGTGGCACTAGGCTCCTTCTCAAATAAGCCCTTGTATCCCCATACCATCACACATGCTGTGGTTTTCAACTGTGACCAGACAATAAGCAGGACAGTCCTTTTCAGACCTCGGAGATAGGGTGGTGAGTAGGGTTGCAAAGGGGCAGAAAATTTCTGGTAAATTTCCTGAAACTTTCCATGGGAAGTTAAGCAGGAGAATTTTGGAAATATTCCAAATTGGAAACTTTCAAAGGAAATTATGGGAATTAGGGGTAATTTATACAAAGTAACATATCCAAACATAAATGTAAATATTTTTGTTTTGTCATAAACAGACATCCATGCGAAATAATACTATTAAAAAACGAGCTTTTACAAAAGCTTGTAAAAACGCCAATGCAGTGGCATGAACAGAAATATAGTTGGCATAACAACTGCAATGGTTTTCAAAATAGTTGACAATTGATGTATAAATTATTGTATAAATAATGGTTACAGAAAACTGTCTTGCAGGAGTCAGAAGAAACAACATCACATTTGAGGTAGTTACCACCACCACAATAAGCTAGCCCCTTAAATAGTCAATGGCTTACATTTAGCACCTATTTTTATTTAATTTTTGCAAGTTAAATATTAATACTATGATAGATCAAATATATTTACCCCATAATATTATCAAAGCTTACTTGAATTTATAGTCCTTGGGCTTAAATGTCTTGTGCTTTGGGCTCAAAAGTGTGGCCTCCAGGGTTCAAGAAATCATCTGTGTATGTGATGGAGGAATGCACAGTGCATGTAGGGGGTGTGGCCTCAATAGCACTGCAGTAAGCAGTGTGCATGTGATTGAGGAGTGTACTTGCATTAAATCTGTTTTTTTTAGCCAAGATTATGCTATGATATATTTTCCTTAACTATATTTAAGTTCCCGGATGGAGGCCAACCTTCAATTTTGTAATTTCCAGATTTATTCCCGTTAATTCCCATATATTCCCGTTCCCATGGAAAGTTTCCAACTTTGAAAATACACGGAATTATGCAACCCTAGTGGTGAGTTTATAAGACTTTTTATCCTGATCACTGGTAAAAACATGGACATAAGAGGGCTAAAGCTGTCTTTACTTTCATGTAGTGTGCATACACACTCCTTCCTTCTGTTCTCATCAAAAGAAAAATAGTTGATGTGTAAGGGTGCAGACCTGCTCTGGACAGGAACAAAGACATGGCCCCAGACCCTGAGCCTGACTCTAGCACGCAGTCTCCCTCCATCACATCCATCATCATGAACATGGTAACTGCATCCTGGGGCAGAGTCGCATTGAATAAAGAGACAGTCATTCAAACATGATTTTCAAGGAGCAGTGTAAAAACTGTGCACATGTGGGACTGTGAAACACAAACTGCACCTTAGGGTAAACGATGGCTGGCATTCTTTTCATAAAGAGCACATAATCTTCCAGACTGGCCCGACGTATGAGGAGGGAAACTCCTATGTTGGTCTTCAAGAAGCAACCTGCAGGCTGCCCGGCTATGTCATCATGCATGATGAGCCCCCATTGGCTGTTCAGCCGCATCCCTGTCTGCAGCCGAAACATCTTCCTGAACTCCACCTGCCCCTGTCTGCGATACTCTGCCACAAGAAACTCCCCAAACACAAGAAAGTTCTCCCCCGGCAGACTCTGTGATACCATTTGGTGCTCACTGAATGACTGAATCTCTGGTATGTTTGGCTCCTCGACTGCATCTATCTCATGATGAGTCTTTGTGTCATCCTTCTTAGGGACTGTCTTGTGGTCTGGGTCCTCTTCAGCTGCAGTTTTCTGGGTGTTTGTGCCATCTTCAAAGTCTTGTTGGTCCTGCTCTCTCAGCTGCATCACTTCAGGGCTCAGGGTGTCCTGGGGCAACATCCCGCTTATCCTCTCCAGGGGAGACAGGGGTCTCCTTCTTGTGGGCATCAGTGCATGCCTGGGGGTCATCTTGCTGATGGTGGGCTCAGAGCCTGAGTGGTCTCCCTCATTATCTTTACATGTCACTGTATTTGTGGAAAAAGTTCTTATTTCTCTTCTCTGTTTGCAGAGTTTGAAGAGTAAACCTCCGCAGTTAAGATGTCTTTGAGAGGTTGTGCTTATTCTCAGTAGTCTGTGCATAAATAGAAGTCCAACAAAGGGGATCTGCACAGACATTACTTCAAATAATTGAAGGATGTATGAATAAAGTAACGACTGTGTCTTCAAATATCATCCGTTCAACGTGAAAGCAGATGTAAGATCTGGAAAATTGCAGAATAAGCTGAATATGAATATCGACTAAACTAACTATTACATGTGATTAATTGTTACATATATATAACGCATACCGGATCACGTTTTACTCACTCCATCCAGAGTGGACCTACTTGGCGTTGACATCGGCTATATTCACAGTCCATGGAGGTCACCATGCTGGAAAACACATGCAGACGACCGGGCGACGTCATAACGGAGCGACAGTTGCAGTGATAAAAGTAATCCGACAGAGGGCGACATCGTGCAAACTCAAACTGGGTTATTCAACACTGTCCCGATGGACTGTTTTTGTACCTGTTACTTCTTTGATATGTACTTTATCACTACATTTTGTGTCGAAAAGCTGTCACAGGCGACCCACCTTTTTTTATTACTGGATAAATTCAAATAATTCTAAATTCAAGACTTAATTTATCAAATAGCAACAGCCATAATTGTGCCTATGATATATACAGTACAGGCCAAAAGTTTGGACACACCTTCTCATTCAATGCATTTTCTTTGTTTTCATTACTATTTAAATTGTAGATTCTCAAAACTATGAATGAACACATGTGGAATCATGTGCTTAAGTAAAAAGTGTGAAATAACTGAAAACATGTTTTAGTTTTAGATTTCTCAAAGTAGCCACCCTTTGCTTTTTTGATAGCGCTGCAAACTTTAGCTATTCTCTCAATGAGCTTCATGAGGTAGTCACCTGAAATGTTTTTTACTTCACAGGAGTGCCTGAAGTAACCCTGACAAGGTACTTCTGTCATCAAGAGCAAAGGGTGGCTATTTTAAAGAAACTAGAATATAAAACATGTTTTCGGTTATTTCACACTTTTTTTATAAGTACAAAATTCTACATGTGTTCATTCATAGTTTTAATGCCTTCAGTAATAATCTACAATGTAAATAGTCATATAAAAAAATAAAGAAAAGACATTGAATGAGAAGGTGTGTCCAAACTTTTGGCCTGTACTGTATATATATATATATATGTGTGTGTGTGTGTGTGTGTGTGTGTGTGTGTGTGTGTGTGTGTGTGTGTGTGTGTGTGTGTGTGTGCGTGTGTGTGTGTGTGTGTGTGTATATAGTTATAAGTTTTAACCAATAGTTTCAAAACCTGTTAGTCTGTTTAAACCCAAGTAATTTATATAATTGTAAAGTTTCAAATTGGCAGAGTGAAATAGCTACAAAACAGTAGGGTCTTGCACACACTAGTAACACACTGGTAATCAAAACAAGTATCATCATTTATTTTATTATTAAAAACAGTTTCAAAATCAACATTTTTTAATCTCCAAAAGAAACCTGAAACTCTACAAACAAATGTTTTAGCAGTCAAAGCAGACCTAATGGGAGTTGATAAGTTTGGTGAGGAGAAAATACAGCATTTGTTGTGAATAGCGATAGTTTTGTGTAACAGCCATGAGCTGACACTTTCAGTCAAACTAATCTTAATACTAATTGTAATTGAAGAATCTGTCAACTAATAGTGAAGCAGTTGGGTCAACATATTAAGCATACATTTTAAAATCTGAATGTTTAAATTTGTGATTTCCCCCATTGGTAGATTAAACAGCGATGCAACTTCAATAAACTCAGGCGCTGGGCTCAATAAACACCCACAGACAAACCCGGATTTTAATCCAAAGAGACTTGAAGGCATCACGGCAAAACTAACGTTGTTGTCTGGCGGCGGCAGCCAATGAGAGGGCGGTACTGCTGACGGCACAACGCGCATGTCCAGAGAGGGCCACACGTGGTTTTTGTAAACCACGCACGCAGTCGCAGGCAGCGCTTCAGAAATGGCGGCCGACGGTGGCAGCTCTTCGCTGCAGCTACCCTGCGTTTTTTCACCCAAATCACGACAGTACTTAGCATTGTGTGCCCAGGATGGCAGACTTCGCATTTGGAACACAGACAGTAAAACACTTCACCAAGAATATGTGCCTTCTGCTCATTTGAGTGCCACTTGTACCTGCATAGCCTGGGGACCATGCCGGACTGTGAAGGTACGTGAGCCTGCTCTGGAAATCTCTACTGTTAGCTGCAGAAGCTAGTGAGGCCTTTGCAAGCTGTTTGTGAAAGTTTGATGAAGAATTGTATACACTGAAACCTACATTCACCTAAACGCAAACGCAGTAGATAAGAAAGCTCAGAGTATCCCGCAGAATGTCACTGCAGACTCGTTCTCCTGTCTGACACACATTTGGTTAGCCTGATAGCCGCTAGTTAGCTTTCAACAGCTGCGCAGGACGCACATGTTAGTCCCACATGGTAGTCAGGAAACATGGGAAACGTCTTGTATTGATATTAATGGCCAAAGTAAACCTATCAAAATGTTTATATTTGCGCCGTGCCGGATTCTGTTTTATTACATTTTCAGTGTTAGTACTCTTATCAAAGTAGTTATTAAAGTCAGCACAAACTAGTTAGTACTCCTGAAGAGAGGGCCACCATGACACTTTGGAAAGGGGACGTTTCAAAAGTTTTACCAACTTCTGTACCGTGGCACTGTGTTAAAATCTTCCTTAAAGTTACACAAAAGTCAAAACTATGTCTGCGCTGTTTTTTCAGGAGGGGCCTCAGAGGAAGAAGAGGAAATCAGAGGCAGGGCAGGTGGAGGAGAAGGCAGACCTGTTGGCAATGGGCACAGCAGCAGGCAGTGTCCTTATATACAGCGCAGTAAAGGGAGCACTGCACTGTACCCTGGTGAGTCTGACTCTAAACACACCTTTACTTAATCTGAAGTGTTTATGAAATCTAAGATGTTGAGATTTGTACTTTTTTCTTTAGGAAACGTGTCCCTGGCACGTGGGCCATCTTATTTTTCTGTATTTATAGTCAGCCTCCATACTCATGGTTTTTCTTCCACTGTTTTGTAATCTTTGATTTTTCATCCCTGCCAGGATGGAGGTCATACTGGGGGAGTAAATTGTGTCCAGTGGCATCCTGAAGACAGTTTATTATACAGTGGCTCAGATGATACGAACATTATAGAATGGGACCTGCAGACAGGCAAATCAAGAAGGTCAGTATTAATGTCATTCATAAGTGTATAAAGAAATTTAAAAAGTGTGCAAATGGAGCCTATGCTTTCAGTTAAAATCACCATATCCTAAAGCATAAGTGTGTGAACATTAGACAACACTAGACAACAGTGACCATTCAGTTAGGCTTAAACTGTGAAGATGTATATGATCATGTTGCTGAGGAAACTGAATTTACAGAAACACTAAAATAATGAACCTCATACTTTTGTACATAATTCCAGTCATTTGTAGCAGATTATGAAAATAAACCCAGGCTCTCAGAGATCCTAACAACTACACACAGACTGTTTTATTTAGGCTTTTATCAGTGAGGGCAGATTTATGCTCAATATGGTTTTGGAATTTCTTGAATAATTGATATTTTTCATTGACGAGGTACTTTTGACCTCTTATGTCAAATTTCTTATTCTTTTCATGGGTTTGTAAGGAGAAGAAAAGTGTTTGTATCATGGACTTTTGCTGGTGGAGTTTCAGTGATGGTTTTTGTTAATATTTTCTTAACTTAAGCGTTACTTACTCAGGATTTATATTTCCGAGGTCCCTCTGAAAATGTTTAATAACATTATTGTTTGCTGTGGCACATTACGGATGGGAAAAATCTATTATTTCTACAAACTTAAGTCTCTGAACAAACATTTTATCAAAAGTGGACAAAAAAAATAATAGAACTGGTAAAATATTACCATAGAGGAGATTTGGAAGTCTGTCCAGCTATCTTCATTTTTTAAAATAATTTTTTCAAATCCAAAATAAATATATCAATTCAATTCAAAATTAATGTCTACATCCAGTGTGTCCTGTAAGTTAAAATCATGTTTAAAATACATTTTTGATAAATTCAGAAAAGACAATGGTGATATTGGCCTTGAAAGAGCCTGGTTGATATGCTGCAGATTACAAAAAAAAAAAGCCACAAATTTGCGCTAGATAATCAGGTTATCTCTTTAGTTGTAAAACTTCATAAGAGATTGTAATCTTTTCCTTTACAAATCAAAAGGAAGACTAATTTACACAGGATCAAAAACACAGATGTCAACAGTTATGACAAACCATCGGAGGTAATGCTGACCCCAATGTGCTTCTGGGCACTTTAGTAACAAGGGTCAGCTCTGCTCACATAGTCCTCTTCACAAAAGCTTCAACAAACTTCGGCTTGACTGTTTGGACACATGCATGACAGAGGTGCCTTTAAAAGATGATGGTGTAGGTAGTGTAGTGTTTGTAGGACAGTTTTCTCCTTGTGTTTCTTGTTGGTGGCTACAAAGTAAAATATACCATAGATGGCACATTTAAATCACTAACAGTCCACACTGATTTGGAAAGTTAATGGTCAGGCGTCAACCAGATGGATTATTTGATCTCTGCTGAGCCTTACATTTTACACCTGAAACTGTGAATTCAAACCTCTGTGATGGTGAAATTGGATGGTTCAATACTCAGCAAAGTTGTTTTTAAAGTCTGGAACTCCTTTTTAGAGCACAAAACCAGTCCTCAGATTTGTACAACTCTAGAGGAGGCAGTGGTGGAAGTCGCCTCAGGAAAATACAGAGTGACAGTAAGAGGGGTTTTAATGAAGTCAGAGTTAAGTGGCATAAATGCAGAATTTATTAATTTATTATCGGGGGGGATTAGGTTTGATAACTCCAGATTTATGATTTATTCATGATTTATTTATGCCTATATTTATTCAGCTCCTCTGTGGTCTTTAAAACTGTCAGTAACTCTTAAATCAGTGTGATCTGTGTCTTTATGAGTACCTCTTTTTAAATAACTTATGTACCTGCTTATTGTTTGTACCAAATGGTTTGAAAGATCAAAATGTGGATGTAACAGTACAGGCGTCTGTCTCCAACTCCACCACAGGTGGCAGGACCAGAGAGTTCATGACCATAAGAGTAAAGCATTAATCCAAGCTCCGCCATCCTGCACACAGTTTCTCTGTATTTATTATAAATAAGAGTTTATTCAGCATCCGCACAGTAACAGCACATGATTCATAATGTCACTGTGACTCCCCACTTAATGCCCACTTGAGCCCATTTATGGTCCACAGAATGGTCCAGATAGTGATGAGAGCCTTTTGTACTTTTCCTGCTGCTGTCAGGTCAGCTGCCGTAGTAAACATTAGGCTGTTTTAATGCAGCCGTAAAGTTTCATAGTTGTCTCTTAAATGGTGGGACACAAACACAAGTCAGTCTGTACTAAAAGCACCGGTGCCTGTGACGCTCTTTATCCTGATCGATGCCAACAAAAGAATGTGGAATAAAAAAACACAGTAGTGTCTGATTCACCTTCATTTGACGAGAAGAAAGTCAGGCACTAACACTCGTCCTTGTGTTTACTGATTCCACAGTAAGTGGAAGGCAGACCGTGCAGAAGTGACCAGTTTGTGTGTGAGTCCTGACGGCAAACTGCTGCTTTCAGCCGGTCAAGTCATTAAGATGTGGGACTTGGACACCAAGGAGGTTTACAGGGTGAGTATCTGAGTCCAATTTTCATTCCTTTAATGGATAATTTGGATAATTTATTCACCTTTGGTCCATCGCTCTGGGATTTTATCTTAATGTGTTAGAAGCAACAAATTCTGTTGGCATTTGTCCTTTGAGGTGATTGTGCAATTTTTTAGCAGTTTAGAGGACATTATTAAAACCCATTTAAGAACCCACCTCATACAGGGTGGTACTTTCCAAAGTGGTGTTACTTTAGCTTTTTGTCTTGTTTCACAGCTCTGATCTGCAGAATCCTTTGAGTATTCATGTTTGGTGTCTTGTTTTCGATGCACTTGTACAGTTCGGGAGTTGTTTTCTTCATCATACTTTGATACTTGAATGAAGTTAGAGGATAAAATGTACAAAATATGAACTGGTAGCAAGGTGGAGGTGCTTATTAGCTTTTAAGCTGCAAGCAGAAACCTGAAATAAAAGAGCTATGATCTACATTGATAGTTTGGAGCTTTAATCAGGGTTCCTAGACAGTTGCAATTTACATACTTTTCTATACCTTATTTTTAGAATTATTTTTGGAAATACCTACTTTTCTGTTTTAGAAAACAGGATTTGAGAACTGTGCTAATAGTCTGGAAACAAAAATATTTTTCCATACTTTATTTTTCATTTTCCATACTTTTTAAGACCTGGAAATTGATCATATCCATTTCCATACTTTACATACTTGCATAGTAACCCTGTTTAATATAAACTTTGGTGCAGTGCGGTGTAGCTGCAGTTAACAACAAGCTGAAGAAGCCTTCAGGTGTCGGTATAACTGAAAATCTTGGCTCATATGTTGGACATGAATGGTTCAAGAGTCTGTGAAAGTCTATGAAACACAGGTTTTCACTCTTTTTGTGAATGTCTTCACTTTTCACAGATGTTCACAGGCCACTCCACAGCTGTGACGACCCTCTGCTTCGCCACCACGCGACCCCCGGACAGCAACGGTCTTTATTTCCTCTCTGGTGCTGCACACGATCGACTTGTCAGCGTTTGGTAAGATTTCACCGATCAGCCAGCCCATCGGTTTTACTTCACACACTGTTTGACTGTCCTGATGCTGTCTTTCCTCATCAAACTGACAAATTTGTGTCACTCCAGGCAAGTACGAGAAGACAGGAAGGACAAGAACTCAGTGGTGTCTTTCACATTGACAGACACGCCACAGCACATCGACCTTGTCACGTCAAACAGCAAAGAAGAGGTCAGAGTTGAGCGATATCTTACTTTGTTTCAGGACCGTCCTGAATTTGTTATTGTTGTCAGTTGAATCTAAACATGAATCCTGTCAGGATGTGTCCGCCTTTATTGAAAAAGACCAGGGTTTGAGACTGAATGTGACATGTTCAGAAAGTGTGAACAGATTCTGTGTCCACGAGAACCACTTCTAAATGTTTGTGTGTGTTTTTGGTGTCACACAGGCAGTGAGGATGGCAGTGGTGTGTAAAGATGGGCAGTTGCATCTCTTTGAACACTTTTTAAATGGGTAAGCCTTTCACACTCGCTTCACTGTACCGCGCAGCACCGCCCCCTAATGGCTTTTAGTGGGCAGTGTGGCTCCACCAAACAACTATCCAGATTTTGGATCATGTCATGTTGTTGCTGCACAATTAATCTGATCAAACTCACTTAGTTTATTGTCGACTACCGACTGCACTTATGGTCCTGGTTTGATATCTGTTCCCTCAGGCCCTGTAAGAAGCCCCTCTCACCGTCATGTACGGTGCAGATGTCGGATACAAAAGACTCCCCGATGCCCATCCCGCTGCTGGCTGCCGCCCTCACAGCTGATACACGGACTCTGCTGCTGGCGTATGGTAACCACCTGCAGCCTGTCATGGAGAGAGTGGTGAGTTCACAGGAGACTGCGGAAATTCATGTGGTTTACAGCAGCAGGTTAATCTAGTCTTAGCATCACAAGTGTAAAACATGGATGCTCTATAGAGAGATGCTGTGTTTTGTTTTACTTTACAAGAAAAAAAATCCACTTACAAATTATCTTTGGTTTTCAAGAAAGTCTAGAAAATATTACTCGAGACCTGTCTGATAACAAAGTTCGCCAAGAGACTCTGAAATGATGATGCACAAACTTTCCCCAAGACCTGAACCTTTTCAAAGAAGTTTTTTTTTTTTTCAACATTATTAATTCTTTCCTTTAAATTATGCTTTAAGTTCCCTAAACTAAAAGAGAAGAAACACCAGAAGACCTGTTCACGGACAGAAACTCGAGGAAGAGTGAACAAAGGTTCATAAGAGTGTACAGAGTGTGAGAACAGTAGGCCTGTAATGTTCAGTCTCAGCTGTCTGAGGCACACACAGACCTCCTGCAGTGAACCTGTGTCTGCAGACAGATGCTCCATACAGTCTGGTGCAGACTATGAATTCACAGGAATAGGTATTTAAATCATGCAGTCAGTTATCATCTCAGATTGGTACAAAAATGAAAGTATCCTATGAACTTTCTGCTGAGAAATGATAAAAATACTTATTTCCTTAGAAAACATGATTTTTCTTTTAACTTTTTGCGTGAAATGTTGTGATTTTTAGGAAAATAATCCAACCTCAAATGCTGATTAAAATGTTTTTTCATAGAATGCTTGCAGGACAGAGTTAACAAGCCCATAAATTGAGTCCGGAAAGCCGTATTTAAGCCCCTTGAAGACCCCAGCGCACAGTTAGTTTTCATTATTGGTTCTGTGAAACACTTTGATTCAGTAACCTCAGTGGACTGTACACACACACACACACACACACACACACACACACACACACACACACACACACACACACACACTGGAACAGGACCAGAAACTAGGGACAAGACTATCCTAGAAACTGCACTGCCACCCAGTGTTCAGGCAGGATGTTGCCGAGCGACACAGACACTTGAGAGCTCAAGTTGAATGGTGGTGTCAGGCTGCTACAGTATGGCCACAGGGTTAAAAGAGGACAAGATCTTCAAGTGCATTTCATTGTACTTAGTTTAAAAATGTTTTTACTGCAAAAAAAGAGGATTTAAACATCAAATTTACAGAAGCAATAAATCACAATAATCTGTTCAGACTCTGTGATTGAACACATTTAAAAGGTGTCATCTCACAGCCCTAATTCAAACCCATTTAATTTGAGCAGATAAATATTTCTGTTTTAGAGCTACAGCTCTATTCCCTCTATAAATCAGTTAGAGCCGCAAATAATCACAAGAAGGAAAAAAAGTGTCATTGAATTCAGTCCTGAAAAGTGGAAAATGGTTGGCATAATAATGTTTTTTTTTTTTCTCGCCTGAGTGTTTGTCCCTAATTGTAGTGTTTACTGATCATTTCCAGAACAGCAGATGTTGACTGCTGTGACATTAAAGAGAAATAATCGTAGTACCTCTCTCCCCTTTTCTTCCTCCCATCTGTGCAGGAGATCAACACAGCAGAGCGACATATCTGCCTGACCCGGGATGTTCAGACCAGCTTGTCCCTTTCCATGGAAACCACTGTTTCCAAGGTAACAACCAAGTCTCAATTCCTTCTGTGTGAGTCAAGAGGGCCGGTGTATTCTTAGGATGATCCTCTGAACTGAGTGCTTGTACTCACTTTTCATGGTCGGTGAGTTTATACTGAAGATGCCTGAAGATGCAGGACTAAAATGAAAATTCTCATTTCAGGTAAAAACCCCAATTGTTAACATCAAGAGCAGAGTGTTGGTCCCAGGGCTTCCTGGTCATCAAGCACCGGTCAAAGGAGCCTCACAGGCGTCAGAGAAGAGGAAAAAAGACACAGACACCAAAGAGGTGGGTTCAGCACTTGGCCAAGATCCACTGCCTGCCCCAGATTCTTCTTCTGATGCCTACTTTGATCACACATCAGAAACGAACAAAGGCAAAAGTCAGCAAAGACAGTCATCCTCCAATCACAGCGCAGGGAGTACTGACCGCCGTGCCTCAGAGCGTGAGGGTTAGCACCTCTGAAGGCTCCAACAGAGCAGTCAAAGTGATTGCAAGAATACCGGTCTGATTTTGTGGACCAGCTTTTCAACACAGGGGTGGTACAGAGTTGTAAGTCTGACATGATAGCATACAGTGTCAGTACTGAACAAGCTGGGAAGAAGAGCAAATCCTACATGAGACTACTTCTCAGCTCCACTGTTGATATGAAAGAAGTTCCTCTCTGTTCTTGTTCTGTCTTGGTTTTGATTTGGTGATTTACCTTGATGAGTCTAGACTTGATTGTGAGTGACCCTGGAGGAGTCAATGTTCACATATCCAGTGAAATCTCAGAGTGAGAGTTTCCAAATCCTCTCCACCAGTCACACTGGTTAAAACACAGTTTCAACCTGATCTAATACCCTCTAATCCCTTATTTATTTATTTTTTTTTTACCTAAATGCCTCGCTTCTGCAGTTGTCGATAGCGGAGCGACTTGGGGAAATTGATCTATCCACGGTCTCTGCTGAGAAGGGAGCTCCTAAAGGGACGAGCTCTTTGCAAACAGACAACTTTGCAGTGCTGCTGGTGCAAGGCCTGGAGAGCAGCGACGCCAACATCCTAAATGTGAGTGTTTGTCTCTGAATTTTGAATCCAGATTAAGGTGTTCGTTTTTAGGGGAGTTGGCTTGAGTGTTATATGTTAAACTCTTCTGCTTTCAAACTTTTACAAGTCAATGTGTTTTTTTTTTTTTTTGTTGTTGTTTTTTGCCTCCTACAGAAAGTTTTTCAAACTCGCAAAGAGATGGTGATAAAGAAAACGGTTGCTCGGTTACCGCTCTCCGCTGTACTGCCTTTAGTGGAAGAGGTGAGTGGAGTTTCCGTGACACCAAACCAAAACACAGCAGATTCCTCTCGAGTCTGTCGAGAGCTTGTTTGTTATATCCCGCGCAGATCTTGTCATACCATCGGAATACTGGAAAAGGTTTCGCTCACTTTATTCTTTCAGCTTTTAATCCGTTCTTTATCTTCTTCTCTGCAGATTACAAAGAGGCTCCAAGGGCATCCTTTTTCGTAAGTTGAAGCTTTTGTGTTATACCTCAGAGGAAGCATTTTGATTAAAGCTCCGCGTTTGGTGCATATTTGACTTATCGATTGTTTTCCTTCAGATTTTTCCCTCCCTGTTATCTAAAGATGTGCCTCATCTTGTGCGTTTCTCTCCTCCACCTCCAGGGCTTTGTTGATGGTACGCTGGCTTAAGGCTGTGCTCATGCACCACACCTCATACCTGGCATCGGTAAGTCCGCTTAAGCTGTCCACATCCTTGTCCTGCTAATATTAATCCAGCAGACTCCAGTTGGTTGATGCTGCTGAGCTTGGTTGTGATCCTCTCTGCAGAGAAGACTGTGGTGCGCATGTTAGTTCAGACACAAACACTGGACACAGAAGTAAAAGATGAAATTGTTATAAAAAAGTCAACAAGCACTTAGTGTGGCAGTCCCACATTTATTCACATCACTTTCTCATTTATACACCAAAATCAATAAAAGAGAGCCCAGGCTAAAGTGTAGCAACCTTTCTGTGGACTGTGCTGTGTGGAGTTGTCTGTTTATCGAAGGCTGACATGTTTGGGTCATTTCTGCCACTGAAATGCTTTTACCTTCAGCTGATCCATCTGTGTATCCCACAGCTGCCAGACCTGGTTACCCAGCTGGGAGTCCTTTATCACATGATTGAGAGCCGAGTGAAGATGTTTCACAAGCTGACAAAGCTGCACGGGAAACTGTATCTCCTGACGACGCAGGTAAGTGTCATTATGCAGAGAAGTGAGTGAGGTATATTTGCTTTAAAGCGGCCGGACTGGGATTGTTATTACCCAGATCCCGTCTTGATGATGCTGCGGCGGTTGAGAGCACACTCAAAGTGCTTATCTCTGAGCTGACGGTTTGAAACACAAACTTGAAGCCATCACCTGAGTGCTGAGTGGATCTCTTCAGAAGCAGGGACATTGGCGGCTGTGAGGAAACTGCATCCGAGGTTGATGTATTTCCCTTGTACAGCCAGTCCAGTTTAAGGGAAATAATAATATAATAACAAAACAGTAGAGCTTAGGGCTGCACGATTTGGGCCAAAAAATCTTGATTTTTTTTATCTCTGAAAACTCATTTTTCGATTTAAAAATTCTTTTTCATTGACAACTTTTCAAAGCTTCACTTTAAAAATAAAAAGGTTTTCGATCATCTCTCAAAAAAAAAACAAACACTGAAAATGATGTAGTGCATTTGCCAAGCCAGTAAGTGGTGCTGAAACGCTGCTGAGGAAATGCATAAAAGACAGAAGAGTACAGAGCATGTGTATAAAGGCTGTTTAAGCTGGACACGTGCAGGCACCATAAAAGAGTTAACGCTGTTTGTGACATAATCATTTCGAGAGATTCAGATAGGCATCCACACGGAGATGAAATGGCAGTCGTTTACGGATTTCTGTACTCTCTGACCCATTTTCAAAAGTACCATTTACAATCACCTGAAACACTGTTTCCGTGTGGATAAAATGCTCATACTACAAAGAACTTGTGCATTTACTCCTGAATTTGTTTCTGTGTGGACGGGTAATATCACATGACTGACTTGCTCTTTCTCTATTTAGCCACGAAATTATCGCTTTCTTTTGTAAACGCCATGCTTGTTTACACCGGTGTGTGTGTGGGAACTGTGGAGTGCTCCCACGGGAAGGGGGAGCCTACGATGGCCTGAAGGCATGGAACATTATAGAGAGGAAAATCAATTTGACAATTTTCATTTTTTTTAACGTGGTCATTATTAAATAATCCGGTTACAATTAAAAATCGATTAATCGTGCAGCACCTATTAGAGCTTCACTGTCTCAGAGTGTACTCGGAGCAATCAGAGTGTTTGATGTGAAGGTACATCCTTTTTCTCACCTCAGCCCAACAGCACGCCTTGTGTATCCAGCTGCATGAGGTCCCATTGTCCATTCGATCATATATTCATCAGTTAAGTACCGGCCGTAGGGAAGTCAGCGGTCATTTCCATCCCTCTACCTTCCCTATGTTACAAGTCACTTGTGACTCTCACCATTCTTTAAATGGATGATCCGAGTAAGGCATCGAAGTGAGTGTAAATGGGTTAGCTCCGATTCCTGCTCCTCCAGCTGCTTTTAAGAAAGACCCATTTTTAACCTGAAAGTATTTAATAGAGTGTAATTAACTGGTTTAATCACAGGACAGTCAGTTTGAGAGTAAAGTACACTTCTGTTGGTCTTTTGGCTCCGGCTGAAAACCTCGGGAACGATTACTGCTGAAGAGTCATTTTGAGAGGGGTTTTAGTCAGTGTGCTTGTTGTCTCTGCTGCTCTGCGTATGACAGGACAGCGAAAATGAAATGACACACATTATTGACCAAATCAGTCAGTCATTTTTGATTAACTGTCCAATGAAGGGGGCAAATAAATTTGTGCTGGAACACCACTGTAATATAATTCAGCTTGTCCCTAGAGTCAGTATATACAGGCTGTTCCTCCTCTGTGGTTAGTTTGACTCCCAAACATAACAATTGACACCCCACCTCTCTGTCTCTCTCACACTTGATTGGGCTTACTTTTGACAGCCCTCACAGGATTTCTTCAGATTAAACTCCCCCAAAATCTGGATGCTGCTTGTTTTTGTTGTTAACCTTGAGTTTAGACTTAAGTTTCTCAGCCCAGCCTCGGGCACAGCTGTCCCGCTAGAACAACTTCACTACAATTTATACCTGCGACCTTGTTGAAGACGCTTCCTCTGTTTGTCAATTTCAAATCGTCCAAATGCTTTGTGGAGCTACAGTGCAGAGGAAATGTGGTACATCATTCAAACAAAAACCAGATACCATTTTTAGTTTGCAGCGAAGCGCCACCATCGTTATAGACACACAGCTACACAGTGCTGGATCTGTCTTTTGTCTTTCCATTGGTGAAAATGACAGCAGACACTGGAGATTTGGTTCACTCACACAGATGAAGGTTTTCATGAAAACTCACTGCTTCTAAATGGATCAGCTGAGTGACAACATATGGCCTTTAGGGGAACCTGTGAGCTGTACTGTGAGGATAGTGTTGAGTCCACTACCATAATGTGCACAAACTAAGTGATCCGGGCATGAATATTCACATAAGATATTGCATCACTAAGTAACTGCACTTGTGGCCTAATATAAAGCAACCCACCAGTGAACACTATTATCCTTGCCATGCAAAAATGTATGTGTTATCAAGTCATGTCCTGTTTTATGGTATGTACCAGGAATGTGTGGGTCGGCATCCAACAGCAGCTGGTTGAATTATTATTTTTGTTCCTGTTGTAATTAGTCTGAGGGTCTGCTCATGTATTGTGTATAGTCTAAGGAGCAGCCACTCGCCATAAAGCTCCACTACCTGGGTGTAAACTAGTACAGATGGCGTCTGGCAGCGCAGTGCAGTCCGGTGGTATTTTAATCCAGTAAGTAGAGATTTTGCTGTGTGTACATTTTGTCTGGTTAAACAGGTTATGTGACCTGCTAGTGCTCGCTCAAACCAAAGGTCTCCTTTGACATCACTTAGCTGCAGACTGTGATCTGTGTGTTTCACCAGATGGGATGAATTCTGCTCAATTTAGACCATTTTTAAAATAGTTCTCTGATCTCTGGACAAGTTTGATTGGAAATATCAGTTAAAACTACTTGGGAATGAGTTACTTTAAAGCATCCCTGATTTGTACATTTGTACATGGCTGCAGGTTCCAACAATTTTTTTCCTCTTAATTTGAACAGATTTGTACAAAAATGATCTCACAGGCTGCCTACAGGAGTCACTATATCTTGGCATTGTAAAACCATGTTTGAATTAATTTCCTCCTCCTATAGCTGCTGTTGTTCACTGTCTGTCTGCCTGCAGCTGCTTTGTGTTTCAGCAGCTGAGTTTACATCAGTTGCCAAATGTCAAAGGAGTGGCAAAGTCAGCTAAACAGGAACACAGTCACACAGACTGTTCTTCTCTTGTTTAGTGTCTTTTTTGGTTATTTGTCGGATGTCAGCCTCAACACAGAAAAATCTGCAGAGGCTGCAGTAAGGTAGTGAACAAATTAGACCAAAACATTAGAAGTAGTCTATAGATGGGAAAAAAAGTACTGACACAGAAACTTTTGACTTCAACTTTTGATGACTGCTGTGAGATTTCAAAGTAAGGAGCTTTTCTCGATGTACTCTTTCTGCATTTTACAAAGAAATATGTGATGAAAAACTATAAAACAAGAAATAAGATCATTGCATCTGTAAAAACTATTCTTTCCTTTGACCACTAGGTGGCAGCAGGTGACAGCAGCAACACACTGACGGATGTTGACCACACAGCAAAGCTGGTGTATGAAGAGGGTGAGTGATTTTTCTTGTGGTATTGTCTCTCTTTCTCTCCAGTCTTGTTCATCTTCTGTTTTGCTAATTATTTGTTGAGACTTTTGTATTTTTTTGTATTTTTTTATTTATTTATTTATTTGTGGCTGTCCACATGGCTGTCTATCACTGCCTTGTCCAATCTTTCAAGTGATGACTCGGTTTGGGGAGCAAATAAAATCATGACCCAATTTTGACTCTCTCCACATGACATCCATGACTGAGTGGCTACCTGCTGCAGTCTAACATTGACTCACATTTTCTGTTTAAAGCACTGACGAGTACATTCATGGCGCCCTCCTCATGCTGACTGACAGTTATTATCTTGTCAGTCCACCTGAAGTCATTAGCAGCTCTCCACGAGGGCTGCGTCGAACCAGTTAAGATTTACAGATACACCGTTGCCCGTCATGCAGCAACTCTTGCCGATGCACCGCACGCAAACATGACTCCTGTTGCCTGGCAACCAGACCAGCAGCGTTCAGATCCTCCCTTTTGAGTGGAACAACAAGGCTTCGCTCTGTTCACTCTCATTTCTCATTACCGTACTGTATAAAACGCTTTATTGAACCGCACAGAAAATTGGCTTTCATGAAATAATTAAGCTGCTCTTAGAGTCCCAATACCCGTCAGTGGAGCGCTATATGAAGGTTCATTAAAAGAAAAGTTCATAAAGAGAGCTGATTAACAGGAGGTTGTTACAGTCCAGTGCGGCGGCTGCTGCTGCTGCTGCATGGCTCAAAGATGGGACTGTGACAGGCAGTCTTGGACATGCCGGAGGATCCGAGTCTGGTGGTTTTGTGACAGTGGGTGTGGTTTTTATCAACATACATGTTGGAAACCGCTGTCTTGCCTCTGTAATAGTCCCACTTCCCTGCATGAGAAGCATTAACTTGACTTTAATTATCGTTCACGCCACGTGATGGTACAATTACAGTAGCTGCTCAAATGTCAGTCAGAGCAGAACTAGATGAAGACTTACTCATATATATGTAAAGCAGGAGATACAGTTACAGTAAGCCTGCACATCTGACTGTCATTAGTGGCATTTATGCACGCTGAATTATCCCTGTTCACTGCTCAATCTCAGTCTTTCATACTTTGACTCTTCTTGGGCAGCATTTGAAAAATAAAAGTACAAACTGAGCTCTACTCTTAAGAATATACAGCACTTTTTAGTCCATGCCACATTTTTTCCTTCATAAATGTGTCTTTGTCTTCACGTTTAGTGCTCTCTGTATGAGGAAACCCGCTCTTGGCTGATTGACAAGGCCAGCACCCATGTAGGATTAGAAAGAGTTGGACCCTGATAACACTTATGGTCTGCCGCCTCATGTGTCATTCTGCCCTCAGAATCCCACCACCATTACCAATGACAGTCTCAGTGTCGTATGCATGTTTACAGGCGAGTGTTTAAGAAGGGCTTATCTCACTCCAAGTGTCTGGAGGGCTTCTCCATACGTAGCACACAAACGGACAGTAACAGGGTATCGTGTTTATTGACAGTTGATTTTCATCGCGCGTTCTGCTGTGTACCTTTTGGCACATGTGCAGTAGCAGAGTGTGTAGCCTGAAGGGGATGGTCTTGGATGTTTCATGTGGGCTGCTTCTCAATAACAGGTGAAAATACTGCAGTAGGCATCTGTCAGCAAGAGTCGTGCTCAGAGAAACCGGCTGGCTATCAACTGAAAAAGCTGTGCTCTGTACAGTTAAAGTGTGATTCTCACTATTCAGTTGACAGAAATGCAAGGATTTGACTCTTAAGATGCTCTGGCTGGCTTTTCTAAACAGAGGCTGTGCCAACTGTCCTCTACAGAAAGAAATCACAACCATCTCTTTAGCTGCCACCCTCTCCCTATTAACTGTTGTTATTTCAGCTCGGTTTAACACCACAGTCCAACATGTGTCTCGAGATAAACCCTTGACTGGAGCTCAATTCTAGGCTGTCATGTGAAAACAGTGAGTATTGAGACCTGTGGGATCAGCTGTTATTATAAGAACAGATGTTTGCAAAGTTTAAGGCCCACCCTGCTGCTTCTGCTCTGTACTGTTGTGCGGAAACCACCGCCAGTAACGTCATAGCAAAAATAAGGATGAAAGAAAAAAATGATATTGACGCAAGTTTGAACAGTGTCTTTGTTCTTGTGTTGTATTCAAGCTGCTTTTTCATCACATGCTGCAACAGTTTGTCTTTGGCTACAGAAGATCTTGCTCATTGAATTTAAAAGGAGGAAAAAAATGCTTCAAGAAAGTAAATGAACCTTCCATCCAGTTTGAATGTCAATTTTATTTACACTTTGACCCCCCCGATCGTGAAAAATGTAATGATGGAGAGAGGAGCAGTGTGTGTGTCAGTAAAGCAGCGGGAGGACAGTGGGAGCCAGGCTGCAGCAATCATGAGTGAATGAGCATTAACTATTTCACCAATGCCGAGCCAAACATGGAGTCAGTCTGTCATAATAGAAACGTAATCTTAACAAAGGCTAGAAAAGGTGAAGTGATGAGTTAGAGGAGCTCAGTTCCTTTAGTTTAGATTAATGTTATGAAAACTTCCTCCCACAGGTAATCAGTTTAGTAATATGATGCCAAAGATGTTGATGGAGGAAAATGCTCCCTGTTGATGCTGTTACAGATGAGTTTATTGAAACCTGCTGCTGATGAATGAACTCTTATAGGCAGAGGGGGGAAAAAAATCCATTAATTCATGCACATGAACATGTAATGTAATGTGCATGTATCTTAGCCGGTAACATGTTTGGACTTACATGGACTTAAGAAAGACAAATTTGTTAGACTTCAGAGGAAACATTCAACCGTGCTGCTTCAGCTTTGATATATGCTGTCACTGCAGATGTGAAAATGTGTTTACTTAGGAAAATGGTGGTGGTGATTTTACCTTCAAGAGGTTTGATGCTGATCTGGTCAGTCTCGGATCGTAAGTGAACTCGGGGTCCATTTGTGCAACTACCAAACATTGCATCATGATTCACTTTTAGAGTTCATGACTCATTTTTTTCTGTTATTCCTGTTGTATTTTATAGCTGTAATGTACAATTGGAAAAACAGATGTAATATCTGTAACTCTGGAGCATACGGCGTCTGTCTGACCTGACAGGGCAAATAGCCTAAAAAACAAAAAATTCCATCCCCTCCTTTATTACACAGTAAGAGCTGTTCAAACCATAATACCCAGCAGTGAGACTGAAACACAGACAGGTGACAGTGTGGATGGGTTTCTTCTCCTCCTTTTTTCTTTTTCTCATCACTTTTTTTCTGCTGAAACCCTTTTGCAGTATAAGCTGACCGTTTGTTTTTCCTTGCTTGCCCTTTACAGAATCATCCGATGAAGATGAGGCCTCTGGAGATGAAGCTCTTCCCGACCAAGATGACTCTGACGTAAGTGGGAACAAACCAAACCCTATGTGTCTGTCTAAAAAAGTCAGTGTTTGGCTTTGAGTTGAGAGTTGTGTGCTGAGACGTTTGACTCTTTCTCTCATCAGAACTGGGAAGAGGAGGAAGCAATGGAAGAGAAGATGGAGGAAGATAAGGAAGAGAAAGTGGAGGAGGAGGAAGATGATGAGGATCCAGACAGAACAGACTCCAAAGCTAACGGAGAAGACGACATGGATCATGAAAACGAGAGCGAAGAAGAATAAGAATAAACAAGATGAACTACCAACCGTACAGAGAAAAAAATGGACCTGAAAGAGTTATATATACTTTCATTTTATTTTCATGCTTTTGATTTTATTACCAGAACAAAGTGGTTTTACACAGAAAAAAAATCAAGGGACAAATGTTGAAAAAGGCAGCTGCCCCCCCCCTCTGCCTCTACACAACACATTTCAGCCTCAAGGTTGGTGATTTCATGTCCGGTCTCTTTTCTCCACCAGAGGAACACATGAAACATTCTGAGAAGTCAGGTCACCAGAAATCAACAAAAAGACTTTGATTCAGTTGTAGTCTGCGTCCCAGCTCCATGGCCGGATGAGTTTGCATGAAAAATGACAGAAAAAGGTCATCCGGTGGTGCTCCAGTTTGCTCACATTGCAGTCTGCATTCCAAAATTGTATATTGTTATATCATAGAAATAGTATTGAGTATATTGTATGACCAGCTTCTCGGTAGACGACAGCGCTCTCCTTTTGTGACTGATTTATTCTAACTCCTCTCTTAAGGCCATCTGGAGCCCACGGGTGCAGACACACAGCAGCTGTGGAGCTGGGAATGAGCCCCCCAAATATCCGATATTTGTACAGAATACCACTCAGATCAGAGGTCCACGGGCAGACCTTCATCATGTCCCCCACACAATGTAAATCTCTATGTACAGTGAAGTGTTTGTACGAGCTCTTCCCTCTACAGTTATCTCCCAGAAACTCTTGGGATTAAATGAACTCTTGTAAAGTCTCTGAATGCTGATTTTCTTTTTTTTTTTTTTTTTATCGTTTCCTAAGTTGTTGCAGCCCTCTTGTTTTAAATTGATCATTTCTGTGTGTTGAGTATTCAGGCATGCCCTGATGTCCTCTGGTTGAACCCATAGTCATACGGGCAACTAAGAAAAAATGTGAACTTTGCTCAAATAGATGAATAAATGGGTTTTCAAAATGGTTTAGTGTGTGTGGTGGAGGAAGTAGGGTCTTTACTGAGATATTAGGGCACAGTAATCGGCAGGGTTCAGACAGATTTAAAGCTTTGATTACAGCTCACATTTGCTGTGGCGCCACTATCAATAAGTTTATGCAAAGTCACACTCGTTTTCATCCTGATTCTGAGTAATTCATTGCCAAGATCTTGCATTAATGATGTGAGAGTCAGACAGCTGAGCAAAGTCTTCTCCAGCACATCCCAGAGACTCCTGATGGGGTCGAGGTCTAGTTTCTGAGGTAGCCAATCCATGTGTGAAAATATCTCTCGCTCCCTATCCACTCTGATAATCTCAGCCCAATGAATCCTGGCACTGTCAGCTTGGAATAAGTCTGTGTCATCAAGAAAGAAATAATGCATTAATGGAAAAAATGGTTATTCAGAAAGTCATCTGAGCTCATCTTTAAGGCACGTAGTGTTACCAAGCCCTGACCTGACCACAGGAAGCACCCCCAGCTCCTAACACCACCCCTAAAGGCTCGTACAGAAGGCACTATGCAGGATTGATGCATCACTTTGTCTGCTTCTCTTTGCGCCCTTATGTGCCCATCTCAAGGTTTGCTCTGTTCTCCATAACATGACACTGAGGAGTTGTTTTTTTATTTGATGGAATTCATATTGATGCCTTTTCATAATATCCAAAAGTAATCAAAAGCATCAGAGATGAGATCCACTATTTGAATATTTTCAATTTTTATGACTGCAACTGGTGCGAGGAGGTAGGTGTCAGCTGAACAGCTGAAGTGCCAAAACTAATAAGAATACAAAAACACCATGTGCTACAGTGCAACACAGTAAGGTCTCAGAGTCTCCTAAAGATGGGTCTTCCACTTCCCCCATTGAGGGCAGCCCTCCTGAACCCCGATAACGTAAAAATCTTGATCAAGTTCAGTGTCTGCTGGAAGGAGTAGATCATCGAAGTTGAATGGAAGCCCCCCTTTTCTCCCTGCATGATGTAGAGGTCTACCCTCTTGTCGGGGAAGTAGTGATTCCTCAGCCCCTAGCAGAGTACCGCTTCCCAGCACACTGCCCTCCAGGAAGCTCCTGTTCCTCACATCCTGGGGTCTGATAGGGCTAAACACGCTGTAAGTGGACCTCATGAAGTTAGCAGAGGAAATTTCAGACCCCATGTTCTTCAGTAGCCAACTGTCGCTCAGGTTCCTTTGGAGTTTCTCCCTGTTTTTCTAACACAAAACTGCAAAACTCCTGTCAGGTACTTTTGGTATGTGTTGAATTTGGCACCTAAAATAATAACATTAATAATAATAAATATAATACCGTAAGTAGGTAATAATAATAATAATAATAATAATAATTATAACATTTTCTTTTACACGGAAAATGCATTATTTATTGTATTTAATACTTAACGTTGAAAATGCAAAAACAGGCTCTTTCTTTGTTGTGCTGCCAACCTTCTGTTTGGACATCTCTTGCAGAGATTTCAGACAAAATACAGAAGAGAAATTTGTTAAATTAAATAAATCCTGTTACTGATGGTCTTGTTGGATTTTACATGTCATAAAGATGCATCATTATCAATTTCATTCCATTTTGCAACCAGTTCAAAACCCCTCGGAGTTGCTTTAATTCAGAAAACAGAGATGTTTTATATAGATATACAGATCAGGGATGTACATAAACACAGCAATACAAACATCACAATTAAAAGCCTAAGATCCTCTCGCATTATTATCTGTCTCCTTAATAGCAAGGGAAGCAAGGTAGACAAAACAACCCTAGTGAACCTGACCCATTTGAAACCGTTAATCACATTATAATATAAGAACACTCCAGAACAATTATTTTAGCCAATCCTGTGAAGCAGGTTGTAACCACTTCCCAGTTAAGGCTTTCTTCCCTCTATTTCCATCATGTATCGTCTGCTTTAAACTGACCATTCAGTGATATTGCACCCAAATACATTAGCAGAACACTGAATGGAAAAGAAATCTGAAAATTTATATTAGTACTGAGGTAATGATGTCATTGGTACAAAAGCAGCAGAAAATGTTTATTTATAAAGAAGGTATCTCATATTTCTGACATAAACGTAGTTAATTCAGAATACCACAGGCTTCCGTAGTTTTCCAAACATGATCATTCAAGATGTTCATGATGTTCCCTCACTGTCCTTTCAGGTTGAGATAATGTGTTGATGATGTGACCTAATTTTAGCCGTCTGCGCAATTTTCTTTTGTTGTCTTTGCTTAATGCAGACCAATAATTTGACCCCTCTCAGATCAGAGGGAAGTCTTTTTCATGTCTTTTGATATGGTTGTTAAAGGAAATGAGGGGTACTCACTGTACAAGTCGGGCTTCTTATTACACATATAAATAACTGCAGTAATAATCCAATGAAAGGCTTTCACCTATATATGCTTAGTTAAATCCAGGTGGTGAGTTGTTAGTTTTTTTTTGTTTTTGTTTTTTTTGGCCAGGCAGTGAGGTATACAAGCAGTATTGCTATTCAGCAGCAACTCTGAGCACAATGGCTCATAGTAACTACACATTTTTGAATCTATCTCTCATTCAGTAGCCTACCCTGGACTCATGCTGTGCTGGAATACTGCAAGGAATTGGCTTCCAACTGGGAAAATTTACTCTCCTGATCCCCTCCTGCCGAAACAAAAACTCAAAAAGCCTGAGAAATATTGATACACAACTTGATAAAAATGATATATTAAACAGAATCACCGCAGAAATAAATCAAATGTTGGTCATTTTCTTGATTTGGGTATAGATTGTATGTTTAATTTGAGGCACTACGGCTTAAATGGCATACATGCACTGATCAGCCATAACATGATGACCACCAACCTGATAGCACTTAGAAACTGTTCTCATGAGGTCAAGACTGTTTTAGCCCCAACTTGACCAGACATAGACCACTGGGCCTCTGAAGGCGGGCTGGCACCAATTGTGGGGGATCTCTACTGTTGGGCTTGGTTGTCCAATAACACCAACCACTGAGCAATAAATGGCTATTAGACGTCTAGTTTTTTTTTTTTTAAGGCCTAATTTCAACCGTCTTGATTCTGTATATTTTTAGATGGAATTGAGATGTTGCACTTTAACCCATGATTCAATAACTATTTATTTCAAAAAGCAACTGTGAGTTGCATAACTGATCTCCAAGTCAGTGTTGTTTTCGTTGAAGATGACGTTGATGAAAATATTTTGTTAACGTCATAGTCAACGAAAACAACACTGGTGTGTGTGTGTTTGTGTGTGTGTGTGTGTGTGTGTGTGTGTGTGTGTGTGTGTGTGTGTGTGTGTGTGTGTGTGTGTGTGTGTGTGTGTGTTGGAGGAGCACAGCAGGCTGATGACAGCAGTCAGAGCGGACTGAAGCTGCTCCTATATGTTTAGCGTTTGACTGACAAAATGCTCATGAATTTTGCAACTCTGTTCGTCGTTGACCACTAACTTTTCGTCTAGCCTCGTCTCGTCAGCGTGCACGCACATTCATCTCGTCACATTTTAGTCATCTAAGACTTATGTTTAGCTCGTCAATGTCACGTCTTCGTAGTGGAAAAAAAGGGGGTTTCGTAAACGTTATCGTCAACGAAAACAACATTGAGCAATATACAGTGTAGTATAGATTTAGTCCAGATTTAGATTTAGTCTAAACTTGGTCTAAATTTAGATGTCTAAAAAACTTTCATTTTTAGACCTGTAGTAGCCTGCTTTTGTAGCTACATTTAGATGTTTATTAGAACTCTTTTAGACCAAAAAATGCTCAGTGGGCAGTTTAATACCTTGAACTTGGCCATCTTCCTCCATTGGGCCATGGTCCTGTTCTCAGGTGTCCATTGATGGAGGGTTTCAGGGGTCAGCTTGAGGACCCTCACCAATTGTGGGGGATCTCTACTGTTGGGCTTGGTTGTCCAATAACACCATGGATCTGTATTTGCAACCTACTTGCAACAGTGAGCATTTGCCTCCCACTCGTCGATCTTACTTCCTTGGACCTCTTTTGGAGGTCCTCCCTGGCTGAGCCAAGTCCAGTCTGTATAGTGGTCTTGCTGTTTCCATATGAAGACTCAAAGCACCTGAACACAGAGGTAGAATGAAGCCTTGCAATGCAGACGTGATTTGTTCCCATTTTGGCCACAAAGGAAAAAGCTTTTTCATGTCTTTAATAAGGGTAGCAGAATAGGTCCTTTTTAGTGATAAGAATAGGAAAAAGTACTGGTTAGAGCAGAAGGGGGTCGGTTTTATTTCACAGCTATTTCAGATGGCACAAGCTTTCAACCCAGGACACATTTTGACACTTTCTGTCTGGAGAAGTGACTCTAATTGCTGCACCTCATTGTATCTTGTAGCCTGCGCAGAGGCATTATTAGTGTTATTAGTCCACCAGCCAAAATGGGAAAAAGTCCACCACTGGCTGGGGTGTCCACATTAATACCCAGTGGCATACAGAGGTTTCACAGATAAATGAAAATGAGATCTGCTTTTCTGAACGTTATCTATTTAGAGTTTTTCTCCAAAGACATATGAAACTGTTGTAAAGCCCCCTGTGTCATCATACCCACACACCCACACACACCCAAAAATGAACAACATATCTAAGAGACCCAAATATAGTCTGAGGTTGCTAGCAACAGCAGCATTGAAAAAGAGAAGACTTCCCCTTCCTCCATTGGGTTCTTAGGTTTGGCAGGGTGTGATCACAAAAAAGAGCAAGACAGTAAAAATAACAGCAATAGTTAATGCAAATGTGCGGGTGTGGAGCATCTGCAGAGCTTGATACCCCTGTGGTGCTTTTCTAATATAAGGGATAGTCAAAATGCCTCTACAAGCACACTTGTCCTGCATCTCAAAGCTCTCAGATTGTAGAGAAATTAAACATTACTACATGAATGTGTTCAGGTCTTGACCCTCATTATGCATGACGAGTTTGGGTCAGAATATATATATATATATATATATATATATATATATATACAGTACAGGCCAAAAGTTTGGACACACTTTCTCATTCAATGTCTTTTCTTTTTTTTTTATATGACTATTTACATTGTAGATTGTCACTGAAGGCATTAAAACTATGAATGAACACATGTAGAATTTTGTACTTATAAAAAAAGTGTGAAATAACCGAAAACATGTTTTATATTCTAGTTTCTTTAAAATAGCCACTCTTTGCTCTTGATGACAGAAGTACCTTGTCAGGGTTACTTCAGGCACTCCTGTGAAGTAAAAACCGTTTCAGGTGACTACCTCATGAAGCTCATTGAGAGAACAGCTAAAGTTTGCAGCGCTATCAAAAAAGCAAAGGGTGGCTACTTTGAGAAATCTAAAATATAATACATGTTTTCAGTTATTTCACACTTTTTTCTTAAGCACATGATTCCACATGTGTTCATTCATAGTTTTGAGAATCTACAATTTAAATAGTAATAAAAACAAAGAAAATGCATTGAATGAGAAGGTGTGTCCAAACTTTTGGCCTGTACTGTATATATATATGCATCTGCAGTGCAAAATGATTATTATGATGATTATTACTTCAAGGTAATGATCCGTTGCACTCGGTGATCGACTCGTCAGGGCTTACCCCACAAGTTGTCAGTCGGCAACATTTATCTCTCAAGGTGGTGTCTAACTCAGTGTTACGGTATGTTTGACCCTAACTTATTTTCAAGCCAGAATATCCCTTTAAGTTTGCATTTGCTCTTGGCTTGATGTAAATGCAACTTCTCAAGACTTTTTCAGCATGTTCAGGCCCTCAAAGTTTGCACCAACATGCCCACAACAGCTAGTCGTATTATACAGTTAAGTCTTATCAAGAATGGCCTCCACACCTTAAGAAAGTTATGTGAGTTGTGTCTGCTAAAGCAAATTTGCTGTATCTTTGCAATAATAAGCATTTCATTTAGAAATCCTGAAAGAGGGGGCTACTGAAGGGAAGCCCTTTATCCTGTCATGTATCCATTATCTCCACTGCTTATCCTTTTCAGGATTACAGGAGAATGGAGCCTATCCAAGCTGTCATCGGGCGTGGGACAGGGTACACTTTGGACAAGCTGCCTGAGGGAAGACATAAAGAGACCAACAACCACTTACATACACTAAGTCACTGAGTAACCTGAGAGGCTTGCATTTAGATTGGGGGCAGTGGCTGAAGTACATCCATGCATTGGGGCAACATCGAACTTCCCACAGAAAGACCAGTGTCCAGCCCAGGATTCAAACTAGGAACCTTCTTGCTGTGAAGCAACAGTGCTAATCTCTCAGTGCCTCTTTGATTGTTATCTTGCTGAATTGTTTTGAATAGCAAATAAGTTTGTCACACACAAAATTGCACTTTTAAGAATAAATGTGATAGTGATCCTGCAGACATAATACAGACACAGATATTTAAAAGGACATACAAGGAATCAAACAGGGAAAAGCAAGTGTTTGAAGAGGGCTTGAAAGATACAGAAGCAGAGAAATACTACAAATGGAGCACCCAGAAAACATCCTTTAGTGGTTGTTGATATTGTTGGCTTTGTTTTTTCAGTTTCGCTCCAGAATTTCCCCTCATTATTTCTTGTGAGTGTACCTGCCTGACAGTGATCATATAAAATACCAGGATCTAATTTGGAAAATGGAGTGTATTTATGACAGAGGGGATGAGGAGGCTCTTCAGGGCTGCAGCACCACTTTTTGATTTAGGCAGACAGGACAGGTGGGAGGCTCTCAATGTCCTGCAAAGAGCCTCTCTTGTCTTGGTCATTTTACACTCTGAAGGCCACCATCCATCTTGCATTCACCTGGTGATCTTTGCTTGTCTGTGAAGGAGTCTGGGCTGCATACCAAACATCTCTCGTCACAAATGGACCTGGAAAAACAAAAGAGTCTCTTTTTTTTTTCCCATCGCAAACCTCACTAACAGCCAACAGCAGCACTTCCCACTTTCAACTGTAGCTCACATCCAGGCCTGATCCAGCCTCAGTGCTCAGGGTAACAGCTGAGTGAGAGTCGACCATGATGGAGCTGATGGAGCATGAGCTCTTGCTCCCTGGTGGGGCTCAGCAGCTGTGAGAAGATGAAGAAGTTTTTCCAGATAATGATGAGCCCCTCACTTCTGACAAACAGCATCAGCTGCCACAGAGCACAGAGCCAGATCAGCAGCTAAGCCAGGGATACTGCAGTACATCAGGCATTTTTTTCTTCAGCAAATTTGATGTAATAGAAGAAGATAAATCTACTGAAGTAACCATGGTAGCGCCTCCCTGCTGTCCAGCCAGGTCCAGCGAAGGGTTTCAGAGCACATGGGTGCTCTTTAATCCAAGCTCAAAACAGTAAGTTGTCACACTCTGCTGTGTTTCTCAGGCTGACTCTCACTCACCTCCCTGCCACACCTCCTCATCAGCGCTGATTAGGAGGTGTGGCAGGGAGGTGAGTGAGAGTCAGCCTGAGAAACACAGCAGAGTGTGACATAAGTAAGGTAATGTTGTGTCGTCAAGTCACTTGAACCCAAGTCACCTGTGAGCTGCTTAAAGTGATTCTCATGAACCTAACTAGAAGATATTTTATGAAGATTATGGGCTCTGTTTTCGTGTCTGCCGGTGATGCGACGGAGGGTGGCGGATCCCGCGTAGTGGTATTTTCGTCTGCTGGAGCCCGGCGTAAAGCCAGTTTGGTATTTTTGTGGACTGAGGCGCACCAAGGTCCGCCAAGCTGGGCGTGGTGGCGTGGCAGGGGGAGGTGTCGACAGAATCAGCTGGCGCACTGATATTTTCGTGCTCGCCACCAGCGTGTAAAGTGCGCTGAAAGCTCGCCAATTCAAATGTGGTCAGCTTTCAGCACAGGCAGAGTGCAGCTGGTCTAGAGGTATTTTGGTAGACCGGCGGCGTATCGGCATACGTCACCGATGCCTCACCGGCAGGTTTCCACAGTGTCAGGCACATTTCAGTGCATTTAATCAACAACTACTAATAATCTGAGTCAGCACATATATTTAGATCTATATAGATATATTCTGATCTATATCTGATCTGATGAGCGCATTTGGCACACGTTTGGACACACAACCTGACCGAATCAACACAGCTGAAACCGCATTAAATTAAATTAAATATCTAGTAAATAGACACACATGATGAAGTTAACAAGATATGTAATTCGTCTCCCTCCTTTTCTTTCTTCCTCTTCCTCTTATTTCTCGCGCAGCTCTACGTGGACATGTCTCCATGTCTTCTCCCCGTCCTGCTGCTGCTGCTGCGGCTGAACAGATGATTTGTTTCAGTGATCAGATGAGTTATCTACTTTAAGCCTACATACGAATATTATAATATTCAGTTTTGTAAGTCAAATGTATTTCGTATGCCAACATCTATGAAAGAAAGAGCCAGGCCACGGAGCGTGATGCATCCTTTACGCACAGATGGTGTCGATTTAAATGCCATTATTGGAGTTTATGTTTTGATCTGTGCACACAACCCACCTTTGTCACATGAGGTTTAAATATGTGTAACTTTATGTGAGTGTTTTTATGTGAGTGTCTTTATTTGTGGATGTTTGTCTTACCAGTGGGTCCAACATTCCACACACCAAATCCATCTGTGCTCATATGAGAGAGTGTGGAGGACGCCCTCTGCAGCGCTTACAGTGACACTTGTTGAGGAGCTGCCTTCTGTCGCCATAGTGTGGCATTGCTGTCTTCAGACATCTCTTGATCTCTTTGACTACTTCACGAAAATTGTAAAACGCCTCGCCGGTGGCAGATTTAAAGGTGAGGAGAGGAGCTTATGTTATTGGTCAATACAGGTCTCGGCTGTGTTAAACCCATGACTTACACCGCTGGGAGGAGCTGAGTTAGGGAGGGGGAATACTTACGCCGGGAACGCCTTGTCGGCGCGGCAGACCTGACTTACGCCAGGCCTGCGCCATGTCTCCAGCGAAGCACGAAAATAGACCCCTATAAGTGTGCTTATGTTTGAAATGTACCAATCATTTTAACTTGAATAAAAGTGTACACGTCTTTGGAAAGTAGGCGTCCAACTATATGTTGTAACTGCTCAGACTTTATTATGCACCATTACTGCAGATGGTACTTTCCAATAAATGGCAACTTTTTTTTTATTCATAGTTGTTTTTTTATGTCTTTATTTAACCATTAGAAGGTTTTATCTGATAAACCGCCTTAGAAACTATAAAAAATGCACACCCTAGAGGCGATTTAAGTAAAATGTGAACCATTCAAGATCCATAACAAAATAGAGTAAAACATGACTGCTCACTCAATAATTGTGTGTTGAAACCAGATTGGATAAAGGTGTTCGGGTATCCTTTAGTGTTACCTGGATTTGACCTTATAACCTGTCATAGACTGTTCCTTTTCTTTGGCATCACTGTGGTCAGTATCACTGAAAAGTATGTTTGAGAATTGTTAAATTAATACTTCTTAGATGTGTGTAAGCGTGCATGTGTGTGTGTGGAGTACATGGAGTACATCTGCATGGAGTACATGTGCAATAAAGCTTGGCTTTAGGGCTGTACAGGGACGTGCTATAAAGAGATAGCAGTGAGCCGTATCATGATGTATGAAGACAAGGAAAAACACATTTCCAAGGCTTCTGTCCCAATAAAAAACTCAATTTCAACCGTATCAGCGAAAGGCATGTATTTCATTATGAGTGGAGGCCCTCCTGAGCGTCCCTGCATGTTCGCTCACTAACTCCAACTACCCTCAAAATGAAGGAAAGTTTTGCATCACTGACTCCAGACACAAGGTTTTTGTTAGTAAAATCAATTTAGGGTCAAACACACCATAACACCGAGTTAGACACCCCCTTGAAAGATGAATGTCGCCGACCATTTGCTTCTCTAGTTACACCAACTTTAGTAACGACTGCTGCAGTCACCCTACTGCAGTCCGTAATGGATCCCGAGGTCTCGCTACAAACAAGCAGCTGCTGTAAGAGTAGGTGAGTTGTGTTTATTCTCTTTGCTAAAGAAATTAGGCAAAGCTAAAAAGATGTTTGGTGGCACGTGCTGTGGCTAGGACCCTGTATGTACTGTTGATGAAGTTAGGTGCTGTTCTGAGCATTATTTGTGGCTATAGAGTGGCTTTTTGGTTGAGATTTGTGTGCGGTTACTCAGACCGCTGTATATTGCTATCGTGTGGTCGTTAACTTCAACTTTCAACTTTATTTCATTTATATGGCACTTTTCCTACAAGTTGTAACACAAAGTGCCTTACAAAGCATAAAAAGAAAATGAAACATTAAAATCCCCAAGAAAACCCCAAACCTCCCACCCGCACAATTATACCCATACACACACCCGTGCACATAGACATACATTTTGAAACACACAACTTCACATACATACGCATCTACACAGTTAGCAGCTGATGGTGAGGAGACATGACTGGGCACTGAGATCTGAGGTGAGGAAGACGCTACCTTTTGGGGCCACGTCGACCGGGAGGCATCCCGGCCCATTGCTGCAGCGGGCGCCGTCACAGGGACCACCAGCCCGGGCAGACAGGAGGCTCCGCACCAAGGTGTAGAGCTCTCCGGTTCCATCCGGGCCAGAGCTGTCCCCAGAACGGCGCCCCCACCAACAGACCAGAACCCGCTCCCGGTGAAGCAGCCCCCACTAAAGTTGGTATAACTAGAGAAGCAAGCGGTTGGCAACATCCATTTCTCGACAAGGTGTCTAACTCGATGTTACGGTGTGTTTGACCCTAAAGTTAATTTTATGCCGGAACATCCTTTTAAGACCAACACAAAGGCGCTAACCTATAGGTGCAAGATCCCTTGCTATTTACACAGCATGGATTCCAGGCCTTAAACTGCAGTTCTGAGTGTTCTGTACTCAGAAGTAAGCTGAAACTGGACTGGATAAGAGAGTCTTGATTGAGAGTAAGTGGGCTGCTTGAGTGAGAGGTGTTGTTAATCTGGTTTTGGCTGCAGGTGCTTTCATATTAGCTCTGAGATTAAACTCCACAATTATACTGCAAAGGTTAACCTTGCTGCACAATTAGCAGAGAAGCTTTTGCAGAATAGAGGCAGCTCTGCTGACATTGCATTGGCATGCTAACTGCTCTTAGCTATGATATTGATCACAAGGCTTTTTGTCACTTATCCTTCGATGACTGACTTAAAAGAATAAAACTTCTTTTGTTTCTCCTTCCTCTTCTGAGTCTGGCTCTGATAGATCAAACCCATGAAACAGGTTGTCAAAGGTGTTGTGAAGAGTCAAGGACACATCAATTAAAGGTGTGAAGCTACACCTCCACCATCTGCAGAAGTCTTTTGAAATCACACACTTTCTATGATCAGATTACATTACATCATTTCCTTTTATAACACAGTTTTACTCAAACTTCTTTCGACAGTAATGAGACTCTAAATACTCTTTGCTTTTTACTATTTCCAGCCAAATTTCCGGAGGCTCTTAAGTAGGTCTAAGTTAGTGTGACCTGAGTTTCTATGGAAACACTTCCCTCCAGACTGACCTGTTCTTGTCAGTGTTACAGTCAGTCTGATGGACTGAAACGAGGTTTCCTCCCAACTTCCTCTTGCACAGCTCGCTGTCTTTATCACTCAGCTGTGAGTCAGTCTGCTGCACTTAAATATACTTTAAAAACAAGTCCTGTCTCAGCTTTTACTCCAATTCATCCACATGGTACTTTAGTAATTGTTGATTTAACATTATCCAAACTTGATTTTGGAACATGAGTATTATCTGCAGTGAGGAAATATATTCATAAATCATCCTCTCTCTGTATAAGGCTCTCAAAAAGACAAATTAGTAGAAATGCTCGGACCTTTTTCAGCAAGGGTAGCTTTTCATCACATGGAAACTATGAAGAGTGATAAAAAACATTTATAGAAACATTAGATGATCTTTTTTTTTTCTTATAAAATACATGAATAGTGCTGATTGATGATAGTTTTTCAATGGCCGATACTGAGAAAGCAGCTTCTATATTGTATAATGCCGATCAATATGAAAATAAATACAAATGAGACACAGAATTGCTGAATGAGAGTAAATGTTTTACTAACTAGTATACACAGAAAAAATATTAGTTAAATATTGACACAAGGGACTTTTGGATTTCTGCCCAGCTATCTGAAGGTAGAAAGAAAGAAAGACAATAATATCGGCAGAAAATAATATTATTATAATTAAACTGCGTAATTTTATACATCATAGTCATCAGAATCTATGTCAAACACAAGTCAGTCTTGGATTTAATATGCTGTCAAATGCATTTCCATTCAGAAAGACAGTGGCAGTATCGGCCTTGTGAGAGCTGATGACGATATTATACTGATTACATCAAACTGCAATGAAACAGTCTATCTGAGTTTACATAAATATTATATGTATGGTACCTGCTGCACAAGAAATGCAGTTCATAGTGCTTCACAAGAAGGGAACTACAAGGTGATAAAAGCAGGATGTGAAAAAGTTAAAATTTAACTATATATGAAA